AACCACACCATTCGATAGAGAATTTAATTCTGTATCCAACACAACCATTTAAAACACCAGCACAGATACTGAAATGAATATTGGCAAAATAACTCGAATATCGTGCCAACTTTCCTTACGTAACAAAATCCTATATATATATGTAATAGGGTTGTATAAAATACGCTAACTGCATCTTTTCTTGTCATAAATTACAAATATCAATGGCTGTTACACGAGAGCGGTAAGTCAACGAACATTTTAACTGTTGTTGAATTTTCTCAAATTATTATTCTATTTCGTGTTTAAAAAATGTTTGCCTGTTTTGAGGATGTCGATGGTTGAAGAAAACATACAATTAACTAGAACGGATTTCGATCGTATAATGGAAAGACTGAAGCAAAAAAACTATTAGTTTCATAATTTTCAATTTGAATGTAAAACGAATTCTGAAGGATATATTGAACACTTGAAGGTGACACGAGAAACACCATTTCTTTTTCAATCGTTGTTATGTATTAATATAGTTGGTCTGTTTCACCTTGTGCTGTATTCACTAACGTCTATTGGAACAGTAAAAGAATTAGTAACATTTGATAAGGAGATATTGGGATCAAAGAAACTATTAGAGCTCGCATCACAAGCTGCCCCGGATGCTATTTGTTACCACGATGGATCATCTATTCGCACCGACATCAACAAGATGGAGAGATAGTCATTCATCGTCCACCGTTTATCGATTTCATGCTAAATTCTCCAGGCAAAATCATTCTTGCAAGCACGTTAGGAGGAATGGTGCTTATGCAAACAAAAATATTGGTAAACTCTTTCATCGACTTAAATGCCATTTTCAATTGCAATGAAACAACAATTGCCATATAAATTGCGAATATAAGTTGTTTTCATAAAGAAAAACAACGCGAATTTTTGTAAAGGTTTCTTTCATCAATAATGAAAGGGTATCGAATGTTTTTATGTCATTGCTACTAAAGCGACGAGAATATTTCTAATGTTAGCCGATTGTAAAGACTCACACATTAGATAATAAAGAAAATTGAGATATTTATCACCCGTGCCTCAGTATCTTGTTCGTTGCATATCTCGGTGTTATCTTTCAGTTTGATACAATGAATAGCACAGAGGGTAAATACATTTTTGTTGTTAAATACTGACAACCGTTTTGTAAATTACTTTTTAGATCGAAACATTTCTCAGCTATGTCCAAGAATAGTTCTAAAGAGCCAGATAATACCTCCATCATGGGCGCTGATGCAGCGGCTGTTGTTCGATCAGTTGAATAAAGCTGCATTGGAGTTTGTGGGACGTTATACACGTGCAGATGGAACTTTGATTTGGCGACGAGATTGGCCAGGAATGGATGGATCCGATGATCCATATGAAGGGTTTATGAATCTGTCCCTTCTCTATGTGTTAGGCGGATGCGATGAATTATACGATCTTTCTCATAAGATTTGGGAAGGTATTACCTGGCAGTGGACTGAATATGGACAAATCTATCGTGAATTTGATGCTTATTACGACTGGATGCATCATGGTGAAGGATATTTGTATTTGTATTTTCTTGGACTTGCAGGCCCATTGACATTAAAAGACCGTCAACGCGCTTTGAATTTTGCGAATATGTACATCGGAGAAGATGATCAAGCTCAAAATTATGATAAGCAACTTAAATTGATACGTTCTCCAATAACGGGGAGTCGTGGACCACGATTTGTGCTCACTACTGAAGATTGGAGCACCCATCGCGGGATTTTGGATGATTATTTGGCACCTTACGAAGATATTGCGGGTGTTGATTTTGCTAGCGGAAAATGCGCATGGTCAAATGATGAAGTTTATGCGAACATCATACAATTAATGAACGAACGAATGACTCGTGGCGATGTGCCATTGAACTTGAATGCAACAGGTCTAGTTACTCATGCATTTCTTCATTCAGGCAATGGGAAATATCGACAATGGGTATTGGAATATATTCATGCTTGGGAAGAGAGAACTCAACGAAATAACGGAATCATTCCAGATAATATTGGATTGACCGGTCAAATTGGTGAATACAATGGTGGAAAATGGTGGGGTGGATATTATGGTTGGCGTTGGCCACATGGATTTATAACAATTATTGAACCATTGATTAATGCATGCATGAATGCTGTACTTCTAACAGGCAATATGAGTCAACTCGATTTCGCTCGTCATCAACTCGATGCTAATTGGAATTTGCGTCGAGAAACTCAGGGTCAATTATTAGTACCATACAAATATTTTGATGCAGGTTGGACGGATTACCGTAAACCAGCTGCGAAATATCCCATCTATTTATGGACGATGTCCATGGCTGATGAAGATTTAGAACGTATCGATCGTATTTCCAAGGACCATGATTGGAATGAAGTGATTATTCCGACGGTATCTGGTTCTGATAAAAAAACCGGACGAGCGACAAAACATTACATTGGTAATACACAACCTTGGTTTCAATACATTCGTGGTTTGAATCCTGAATATCCCCAACGTATACTAAATGCAAATTATCGCCTGATTCAACAACAACTCGGCCGAATGCGTTCAGAAGCAGGAAATCCCGCCAATTGGTCGGATCAATACAATGAAAACGATTTTTCAAGTATTCACATTTGGCAAGAAATGTGTCCGGTGTACATGGAAAGTCTTGTCCAGTTGACGTTAGGCGGACCCATGCACATCTCTCATGGTGGTTTACAACATGCTCGTGTAAGATATTTCGATGTAGAGAAAAAGCGTCCAGGTTTACCTCAATCAATTGCTGCACTTGTCAAAGAGCTCCGATATGATTCCATTACTTTAGAATTGATTAATATCGACTTGTTTACGGAGCGAAGATTAATTATTCAAGCTGGATCATTTGGAGAACATCGTTTCAATAAAGTGAATGTTTTAGATGTAACGGAGAATCTAATAGAAACTGTAATTGTGAATCATAAATGGTTAGAAGTTGTACTGCCTCCTGGAACAGGAGCAACACTAGAAATAAGCATGGATCGTTACGTGAATTCTCCTTCGTATGACATGCCTTGGTCGAATCCTGACAAGAACACTTATCTGCAAGGAAGAAACCTTCTTTAAAAGAACTTGTTTTATGACTTTTTATTTTGAAGTGTCGATATTTCTCTTTACATTAACATTTAAATGCATTGATCGGCGCACTATAAACATGGTAGAAAATTTATATTTGGTTTTCTTTTTTAATCTTTTTTTCTCTCGTACGCCGTCCTTGTGAACATAAGCGTCGTGGCGAAAGAAGGAAAGAAAAGTTAGACAGTACTAACAATGAGAATTTGGCCGAGAATAAGAAAACATAAGAGAATTTATTTCAACGACGATCGAGCTATAATGGAAGAAAATTTTCATACGGTGGAAAATGAAAATCTCTCAAATATTACACCAGAAACAGAAAATAATTTAAGTAATTATTGTTTCATGTTCATCGATGCTCAGTTGAAAGACAACGCCTGTCAAGATTTGCTTGACAATCTTCGAAAAATAACCGATCAACATATCTTAACTTTCGATAATATTGACGCGATTTATCAGTCTGATCAAATCAATTCAACTATTAAAATCTTCTTAATTTTATCCGGTTCATTAGAACCAACATGGGAGACTCAACTTGATAAAATAACTAATATTGAATTTATTTATGTTTTTACTAAATGCAAAAAATGGCGACGTGATGTTCCAAAGATTCGAGGTATTTTCAACGATAAAGATCAACTCTTTGCTATGATATCCCATGATATCAAAGGATTTGCTAATCCATGGACATTTAATAACGAACGTTCATTTTTAAGAGCATCGTCATATGATAATCGATGGTATCATTTATTTATCAAGACTTTATCATATTTATCTTATACAGCCACTGATTGGAACAAAATGCTCGATGAGTGTCGGTCACATTACAAGAAAAATTCTGTAATGTTAACGAAAATTGATGAGTTCAGCGAAGTATATACTCGTGAACGAGCAATTAACTTTTATACACAAGACAATTTTATTTATCGAATTTTCAATTCGGCTCTGCGAACTCACAATATGGATACCATTTCGAAATTGTATCCATTTATTAGAGATTTGCATGAACAATTATATGAGCGTTATAGGAAATACTGGTCCATTCTAAAAAGTGAGAATATCAAATCACAACCTCTTCGAATAGTTTACCGAGGTCAATATTTGAGGCCCGTTGAATTGGAAAAATTGCGTTCTCTTTGTCGATCTCGTCAATCAGATGTATTACTTAATATGTTTGGCTCAACAACCCGTGATTCTCAACTTGCAATGAGTTTCATTGTAAGTGACCACCCGGAAAACGTTTCGTGTTTGTTTCAAATTATTATTCCAGATTATTATTATGATAAAAAAACTTCGGCAACAATCCATCCTTCTCAAATGTTTTTAGATGTTTCTAATCTTTCTGCAATGCCTTGTGAACAAGAAGTTCTTTTCTCAGTGATGAGTCGATTTCGTGTTAAATATGTGGGTTACCCGACAAAAAATCGTTCGTGGATTCCTATTATCTTAGAATTCTATCAGGATTATCTCGGATTTGATCCTCATTGGCATAAAATAAGAAACATGGTTTATCGTGAAAGTGATGAAATGAAAAGAGAATTATTCGAACTTGTACTAAAAAATGCGAATAAACCAATCAATTGGGATATCTGGTGGCAACGATTAATCGATGAATTTGGAGCACGGAGACGAGATTGTGAACCTTTTGTGGTGACTCTTTGTGAATGCTTTGGTGATCCAGAGTCATTGATGAAAGCAATCGAATTACGCAAAAGAGATTTGCAGAATAATTCAAAATGGAAAGAATTTTCTGATCCTATTTTTGTGATGAATGAAATGCAATATGGGAAACCAACACGAATTATTGTTCTATACGAATTATTTCTTCGAAAGATGAATTTCTCGGAATTGGATACAGATGGTGTCATTCAATCGTTGAAACGCGCTGGAGACGCTTATGCAGAATGTGGATGTTTTTATCAGAACGCTTTAGAATGTTATGAAAAAGCTTTGCAGTTAGCTGGAAATCATTCCGATCGCAAAATCATTTCTGAAATACGAATTGGAATTAAAAAATTAGCACCCGGTCGCCAATCCGTTCGTTCTAAAAAACGACAAGAAATATGTCAAATGAAACTAACCGATTCTCTGTCGAATACAAATTTGTCATCAAAAACATTGAATTATGAAAGCGAACATTTACAATGGTTCGTTTTCTGGCAATTGCACAAAGTGTCACTTAGTGGACCAAAAGATCGTCTGGAACATCTTAGTTGGTTTCTCAAAAAGCAAGAAGAATGGATGGATAGTGCTGATCTACGAATCTTTTTCGATTTACCATTTCAAAGGAATCAAAATGTTGAATCACCAGAAAATATTATCTATCCATACTTTTATTCATCCATATGGTCATATCTATATAAAAATACCGCATGTTTTCAAAATCATTCATTGAACAAGTGGCATTATGAAAAATTTATCAATGAATGGTTAACTTTAAGCGATCTCAAACGAATAATAACGTCCAATGTTTTCAATAAATACAAAACTGTCACCGCTATTTTAACTACACTCGAGCGAATTCTTAGAAAACTATCGTTGATTATCACAATGCTTACCTTTGTAATAACTACTTCGCCCGCAAGTGATGGACTTCATATTATGTTCAATCCAGAACAAATTGAATTTCAAACTGATGCATGTATTCATCCAAAAAAACTGGTTTTCTTTGATATTGACGAGGAAGCTATGCAAAATACAGTGTGAATAGAACTTGTTATCTTGTTTCCCCATAAAAAAAACAATGGAAAACTAAGATCGCTATCTTCTCTGTAGTCGAATATAGAGATGTTGCTGAGAAATGACAACGGTTTCTTATCGGACTACGTTGCCCTTAGGGTAGCGATGCAACAGGTATCTCAGCAAACATATTGTGTTGTAAATATAGTTTTCCTTCTTTTTTCGTACACCTGTCTCGTAGCGGCAGGACTACAAATGAAGTTTTTTATGCAGCTTATTCAAGTGTAATTTGATCTTTGAACAATTGAAATCAGCTTTTCTTTGCGGCGATTTCGTTGAGAATGTTTTCAAATTTACATCTCTACGTCAGGTCGAGTAAGAAAGGAAAACGAACGTGTATTAATGATCTACTAAGAATGTTACGATGCTAGTCTATACTGAGAGTTGTATTGTATGAAAAGTCTTTCGAATCGAAGGCGAACTGAAAGTGCTTACGAACAATTACAACCTCATATCATAGGCGATATATAGAAAGACTCAAGAGTTTCCTCATGACCTTAGAGACCTAATGTACCTACTCTCGGTCTTGTTTCCGAAGACATCTCGGAGTTCTCGAATCTTATTTTCTCTCTTTATATAATTATGAATACCTATCGATACTGTTACATCCTTCTGATCTATTAATGGTCACAAATTTAACTGTAAGAAAGAAATCATACTATTTTATTGCAGAAGACGAGTTATTCAGGGAAAAATTAAGAAAAACATAAGATGGTCGTGTGCGCAAAGAAAGAAAATATTTGAGAACATTTTAGGATATTCTCCTTCGTATGACATGCCTCGATCGAATCCTAACAAGAACATTTATCTGCAAAGTAGAAATCTTCTTTAAAAACACAACTTGTTTTATGACTTTTCATTTTTGCTCATTATTATGTCACGATTTATTCTTAAAACCTTGATCCTACATTGGGAACGCGTGATACAAATCCTTGAGGTACTTCATCTAATTAAGGCGATTATCACGAGATTGTTCATCAGATTCTTACGGATACTTAGCAAAAGAAAAGCCATTCTTACTATGATTTTCTTAGGTAAACATTCTCTTATTTGATAAAACGCTATGGAAGACGATTTATCAAACGAAACTGAACCAGAATATGAAACCGCGATTTCAAGAGAAATCTTCTTTTACGTTTTTGTTCTATTGGATATTCCATCCGTATTATGCTCTTTCTTACTTTGCTATTATTTTATTCGGTTCCGCGAACAGTTGCATCAAAATCATTTTAACAGAATGATTATTTATTTATTAATCATTTCATTTTTCACAAACGGAACTGATGTTCCAATGATAATGATTCACTTTTACAATTATTTATATGTTCAAGAATTAGCCTATCGAAACACCTATTGTATCATTTGGATTTTATTCGATTACATCCTTTATGCGTTACAGTTATGGTTAATAGCTCTTGCGTGTCTCGAGCGCTATTTAATGATATTTTTCAAACAAATTATCATAGCAAATCGATTGTTTTATTTTCTTCTGTATAATTTCTCGGTTTTTGTCATAACGTCTTTTTGTTTTTTCTGGTATATTTATTTAGTATTATTATATCCATGTGAACAGAACAGTTTTGTATATACGGGTAATATTTGCGGTTCGTCTTGTTACGAAACAGTTGGAGACACGACGATACAGAATATAGATTGGATTTTAGCGAATTTGTTACCGGCATTTTTGGTTATTCTCTTTCTGTGCATAATCGTTTTCCATGTGGTTTATCAAAGGTATAAAATAAGTCAACGAACAATGGAAAGACGAATTTGGAGAAGAACACGAAAAATGTTTCTTCAATTATTTCCAATCGGTTTTTTATTTCTAACATTCAATACCCCAGTGATTACCGTTGGAATGCTCAGCGTTAACTATGAATGGTTCGCTGGAGTACCTTACTATTATGCAAATTTACTAGAATACTTTTTACCGATGTTAATGCCATTTGCTATTTTATCGAAACATAAACAAATACGGAGTAAATTTATTGTTTTGTTTAAATTAAGAAGAGCAAATCGAATTGTACCGTTACGCACTGCAACACTTCGACAAGAAATGATAATTGCTTGATGCAATTTTCTTCTTCAGAAAATTTTCCATTTCCTGCTTTTCTTTAATATGTGTTTGTTCGAAAGAATAAACGGAGTTTTGTCTGAAGCATCACTTCAATGAATGAACTAGTTTGAGACGTTCATTTTCTTTGATAAGAGTTGTTACGAACTGCACTATTTTTTTGAAGGTTTTGTAGTTTTGCTACCAAGACCGGAAAAGGTTTAGAGCTCGTCGTAAACTGTGAAATCCTTCAAAAGCTGCATTCCACCTGAAAAACATTTTAAAAAGGTCTTTTTTTAATGAAAACGTCTACAAGTGCGCAGAACTCCCTTGGTTTCGATTAAAGCTTTTTTTGTTTTTAGTGCATCATTATCACTACAAAATACTCTTAGCGAATTTTATTTCACACGGAACAAAATAAATATTCGCCTACATTCTTCGCTTTCATATTTTGTGTCGTTATTGATCGACTGATCATCCAGTTTATATAAATCTGAACTAGTGGCGTAACTAAGGGTGGGCTAGGTTGGGCGGCGCTCAACCACCGGTAATTTCTTTAAAATTGGTTTTTTACTGATAGACATAATAAAATAGCACTTGTTGATATTCAATCATATGTTTTCTTTGACATAAGTGTAACGACGAACTGTTTGAGTAGCTGACCGCTTCTCATGATATAGAGGTAAGAGAATAAGGAACAGAAAGAGATGAACAATATCATTATCGTCACACCCTCCCACAAACCCTCGCCCACTTAGAGACATGTGAACCACTTGTTTAGGAATGATAGAATAGCGATATGCGCCAGACTAGATTTATTCCTCCAAATTCAACAATAATTCATTGGTAGAAAAATACAGTTTTGTAGGACTATTCCATGAGAATTTTCCATAAGATAAATAGTTGCTCGTCAAACATGACTAATGTTTAAATGACGGTTATTTTAATGCCGTATTTCCTTTTCATTCTTGGAAAATATGATGAGAAGAACAACATGTGTTGTTTTTGGTATTTACGTATGACACTCCAAACACGTTGCTTTGAAATACTATTAGATAAGAAAGTATGAAGCATTATTAAATATATATTATCATTGTAGTGGGAAAAAAGACGAAAAGATCATATTTGTTCTTGCCGCAGCATTTTATTTCTTCTTTTATTATTGATGATCACAAAGAGAGATTGGTGGAATAGCACTGTCGCTATCCTTCAATGTAGAAGATGTTTAACTGTACTGTACCATTCTCCAAAAATCTGTCTTATACAATACAGAACATAACCTTTTATGCAGAACAGAAAAGAGAAGAAAACGAACAGTGACAGTACAAAGTAAGATTCATAATGCGAACATTAGTTAGAAAAGAACATTACGCAAGGACACTGGCTCATAGTTGACATCTCTGAATGATAACTCATAATATATAAAATCTAGATATAGACGTGTCTGTTGGCACAATCATAGATTTTGAATCATTCGTACATCTTCTTTTCTTCTTCAGAAGAAATTTGTTGATACAAGAATATGAAAGATAAACGTTAATGATGAAGCTTTTCAATCGGATCCTTTAATATGCACAAGATATTCATTTGTTGACAGTTAGCAGTACATTACATGAGAATAATGAGTACGAATATTAGTCGTATGACAAATGTTGTCTGAATATTTGACTTATTCATTTAGTCGAGTTGTATCTGTAATGAATCCGATAGATTCTATTAACTAATTCATGGTTTGAAGTAAGGGTCGTGTCGAACATTTGTAATAGTATGATAAACAAAGATTTATGAAATATTTCCTACTTTACTTTTTGTGATATGGCCTTATTTTAAACAAACAAAATTCGAGTCATACTATAATGTATGAAGTTCAAATTAGTTGTCAGTTCAACTGAATTTACAGATATTCTCTTAGTCGGCCATTGTATTTCGTATGAATAATGTGTGAATATTCGATGGACTTCCTTGGAAAATGAATAAACGGAAGGTTGGAAGAAACTTGAATGATGTAATGATAACGATTATTTGTCATTTTTTCCCATTGTGATGAATAGTTTGTATTCATACGTGGGTTTATTTTTTTCTCTACATTTTGGACAAACAAAATAATTTCGGCGTAATCAATGAATTATATCAAAATACCCATGAATAATAATCATGTGATGTTATTAAAATTGAAAGACGTAGTTTTAAAAATAATAATGTGTAGGTGATACTGGGAGAAAAGTCATGATTTACTTCCGAACTATTTTTAATGGAAAGAGTCACAGATAGATAAGGCGTTGCACTAACCTATATAAGGTGTTCGGCTTGCTTCAAGAAATCATTCGTTTTTCATTGTTATAATTAAAACCAGTTTTCGAAACTACTCAAAGCAAGTAAGCAGATTTTCAAGTAGTCCATGCGTAATATGAATAATATATATTTAGATAGCTATGAAGTTATCAAGTAAATTCGTGTTCGTTACAATGATCGTCATTGTGCTATTAATGGTACAGGTAATGGCTCAATCAAATGAAAGTGTAGATACTCGTATGATAAAATACTTTTATTGATATATAGTCATTAGTTCATTTTTGTGTAGAAATCATTGTCGATGAAAATATAACAAGCTATCGGCCACCTACTAGATACTGCAAGGACATGAGCTTGGAAGAAAATATAAAATGTACGTTTTGGTGCCAATTACTCAAATTCCGTTGGGGCTTTTGCGATTACTACAAAGGCAAAATTCTGTGTAGATGTACCGACAAAACAGCGAAAAACTTTGATAAACAATAAAAGAAACTTTTTAAATAGTACGTGAACATGCACGTGCTTTTCAAGTATTAATTGATAATTCAAAAAAGACAATCATATAGTAAACTATGCGAAGGATGAGAATGTTAACGATTGTATGAGAGTGAAGATGAAAAAAACCGCGATTATTGTTATCGGTCACTTTCACGTAAACTTACGCAGCCTCAACTTTTTCGAATTCAGATAATTCGAATAATTCAAATCAATCTGATAACTTCAATGCTTATATGAATTCGCAGTTCCCATGAGTGTTGAAATTATAATCAGAAAGCTTTAATAGAATTCGAGAATTGAATCACGTCTTATCCAGCGATGCCGACAGATGTAGACAGTCAAAGACTAAGTCTCTTCGGAAACCGATTGTGCTTGCTCATATTTTTGAAAATTTTCGAAGAAAGGTGATTTTTATTTTACAGAAAAGTTAAGTTTCAATCATTAGGTCCATCTAACAAAACTCTTTGAACGAGACTAAGCATCTTTAACGCGCACCACCAATCAGACTATGTAGAGTCATAAGTCAATGCCTCTTTCAGCGGCAGCTAGAAGTTTTTAATATTTTCTATATCTGCCTGTGGCGATTCATCGGACGGCTTACATCTCTAACCACTCGGAATACTACATTAACGGTCATGATATTCTTCTTCCAATCTTTTATCTTCAATAAACTGTTTCAAACACACGTTCCATAAATGTTAAGATATACTTTAGCATTCATTGTCATGTTCTAATTTTTGCATACAACTCTATTATCGTTTGATCACGCTCCAGTATGTATCTTTCTTATCAACGCAAATATTGTACATCAAATGACAGTCATTTTCTTTTCTTCATACTAATCGAGACATCATTTTTTTCTCGTATACTACTATAATCTCAAAACTATAAAAGCATTCTTTTTTTCTTTGATTGGAATTAATTGTCGAAAACCAAGACAATGTTTATCATTCAAGGTAAAACAAAACCATTTCAGGTTTTTCTACTTGTTCCATTTTGGTTGATATTCGTGACATGCCAACTAAACATGTACAATGTCGAAAGGAAAGATTTTGAAAGTCATTCATTAGCATATGACTGTTTAAACCATTACATTTATCGAAAAAAATTGGCTTATCAAAACTTGTATGATATTATTGTCGATATCATCCCATTTTGTATTCGTCCAAGTAATGATTCGAGTAATGACGCATCCGATACTTCTGTTCATCCACTCGCACGCCGATTATCATTCACAGAAATCAGTTTGCTTGGTATTAATTCGCAACAAGTTGTTTCTTGGTCAATTCCAATGATTACAGCTGAACGGTATCAGGCTTATTTGAATGCATCCAAAACAGAATCATCGGATGAATACTTCTACAATTGTACTCAACCATGGTTTGGTATTCGATGTCAATATTCATTTGGATCTCAGTTTATTGGCATGTCATTTAATGAGATTGTTGAAGTAATATTTACCGAAAAACAACCCTTTTCGGAATCATCTAACACATTGATGCCTATATCGATGACATGCTATGTTCTGATCGAATGTCATCGTGATGGATTGAAATGGTGTCTCGACTGGCGTGAGATTTGCAATGGAGTTCTGGATTGTTTTGATGAAGGCATCGATGAAGAAGGTTGTTTTGTCTTGGAAATGAATGCATGTGCAGATGACGAATATCGATGTCATAATGGCATGTGCATTGCAGAAGATCTGTGGAACGATGGAGAGGGCGAAGCATATTGTGCTGATCGATCGGATGAAATGCCGGGTGTTTCGTATATGAAGATGTGCTATCAAGATGCATCATTTCGATGTGAAGAGCATTCATGTCGAGCAGATGATGGTTCATTTTCATGTGGTGATGGTGAATGTGTAAGAAGATATGAATATTGCTATAGTGGTCGACACCGATTGTTGATTGAATCGATGCTGAAACAAGGTGATCTTGCAGATGAATGTTGGATGGCAATGACTTGCTTGACTCGCATTGTCCAAGAAATCAATGGCACATCGTGCAATCATTGGTTAATGACTGACTATGTTAATATGTCTCTGACAAAATGTCCTTGGTTCTTTCAATTTCCAGCCGTTGCAGTATACTCAAATCACGTTCGTTTCTTCTATGAAGATGTTCATTCGCGAAATGATTCGAATATGTATTTCTTGCCTGACTACATTTGCTATGATGCAATCCTGTGTAAATGCGGTTCGTTCGAAAAGGTACATGATAACCTTACTTGTATAATGGGTTCCAATTCAGATATGGAATGGGACAGAAATATGGAAAATCCTTGGAGTACATTGATCTGGTGGGTTGAGCAAAAGTTTCGCTCTTGTTTAGTATCTAAAAATTTTAATTCAAGTGAAATGGCATTTATAAATTACTCAACTTTGTATATATGTGAAACTTCGTCGAAAATAATTTCGACCAGTCATGTTAAAGATAACATATACGATTGTGCAGAGATGGATGACGAATTTTCTGAAAATGGTTGTTACCCAGGAGATCGGTATCGAGTCAAATGTGATACCACCGATATTTGTTGGCCACCGATATATCAAGCCAAAGCCTACAAATCAAGTTACGTGCAAAGTCTAGGAAATATTCCATTTCAGAGCTTTTGTGATGGAATTCGCCACGACTTTTACCACAATTTTAACAAAGAAAGACATAGCGAAGAAGATGAATGTAATTTGAATCATTTATGTAACAACATTTATGCACGGTGTGACGGATTTTGGGCATGCGCAGATGGGCGAGATGAATTCAATTGCGGTCAAACAATATGTCCATTGAACGAACATGCATGTGTATCACCACACAATTATACGGTGTTCTGCTTACCTCACAATCGTGTCAATGATAGTGTCGACGATTGTCTCGGTGCGACAGATGAACAAGAAGAATGTCGCTTTAAATGGAATTCAAATCAAGAAATGTCTTATCTTCGATGTCTAAACGACACAATGTGCTTAAAATCATCAGACTTATGCGACAACATTAAACACTGTCCATTACATAATGATGATGAAGCATTTTGTCGACATCTTCCATTCACATTCACCTGCAACCAAAATAAATCAAATCATCGAACTCAAATTGAACACATCCTATGTGGAATCAATGAACATGACAGTCATCGTTTCAGATTCTTCACTCTCGTCACTTCATCCACTTATCCAGCATTAATTTCATCCGATCTCATCGATCCTATCAATTACATCCAACCACAAGAACAGCATTTGATCGTTAAAAAAAATACAAAGAACAATTCATGGTCACACTATTGTAATCGTGGATTAATGATTACAAAATTCACAAATAATGGCATCCAGTCGAAATGTCTTTGTCCACCAAGTTATTATGGTGATTTATGTCAATATCAAAATCAACGTATCAGTTTAAAACTACAATTAAGTTCAACAAATCGACAGGAAATATATGGTATTGTTGTTATTCTGATGGAAAACAACCGAATTATAGAATTTAATCAATTTCAATACATCGCAAAAGATAGTTGTACAATGAAATTCAATCAATATCTTTTGTATCAAAGAAGACCAAAAAATCTTTCATCCAATTATAATATTCGTATTGATGTGGTTGAAAAGAATTCGATGATTTATATTGGACATTGGTATTATTCAGTTCCATTCTTATTTTTACCAGTGAATCACATGGCTTTATCACTCAACTTATCATCAATTATCATGGAGAAAGAAAGAAAACAATGTTTAAGTGAATGTTTAGATAAACAAGAATGTGTTCCATATGTGAATGATAGAGACAAATCATTTTGCCGATGGAAGACACCAGTAGAGCAATATGGTTGTTCAAATGAGTCGATATTTATTGGAATGAAAGACAACAATAGGTCAATTTGTATGTGCTCATTAGTTGCATATGGACCAACTTGTTTACTCTCATCAAAATGTTCAATCAATCCTTGCAAAAACCATGGTCAATGCATTAGAGATGAATGGGATATTTTTCATCAAAATTATTCATGTATTTGTTCAAATAAATATTATGGTTTGAATTGTGAATATCGCAAATGGCAATTAGATGTTGAATTTGATAATAAGATGAAAATTCCATCTTATATTATTGCATATTTTTATACAATTTCGAATCAATCCCAACCAATCAAAACAATTGTTCTTCGAAAATTGACACTTTTTCAACATATTGTTACATTTCATATTTCAATTGCATTTCATTTAGTTTTTATTGAAATTCAACATCGATTTTACCTTGCGTATCTTCAGCATCAATCTTATATGCATGTATTAACAAATCTTAATCCTGAACAAGAATGTCATTCGATTGAGAAGTATGTCAATTCAAAAGTTCTTGAATTACATCGATATGAACGAATAAATGAATTTCATCGTATTTGTTTAACTCATTGGGATGTAAAATGTTTTGTTGATGAAATTTATATGTGTTTATGTACAAATGATCATCATGCAAATTGTTTTGAATTTCATGATGGAAAACTTCAACCATATCCATATCAACGTTTTCAATGTTCATCAACAGATAAATATTGTTTGAATGAAGGTCGATGCTATCAAGATCATCCAAAATGTCCATCGACAAAGATTTGTTTATGTCGTGATTGTTTCTTTGGTGATCAATGTCAATTTTATGCAAAAGGTCTTGGATCAACATTAGATGAAATTTTAGGATATGAATTTCAATATGGAAAAAGTTTTTCATCTCAATCATTTTCAATTCATGTGAGTGCATTTCTAACAATGTTCATTTTTGTGGGTGGTATGATGAGTAGCATTTTTGCTTTGATGACATTTACACAAAGAAAACCAAGAGAAGTTGGTTGTGGTTTATATTTATGGACATCATCATTAACTTCGTTGATAACAATTATATTGTTTACAGTCAAATTTTTGTTACTTCTTATTTCTTATCAAAACGTACCGAATCTTCGAGTGATTTTAATAACAAATTGTCGATGTATTGAAATCTTATTAAAACTATTTTTATTTACTGATAGTTGGTTGAATGCTTGTGTTGCCATTGAAAGAACTTATTCAATTCATCGTGGTTTATATTTTGATCAATTTAAAAGTCGAAAAGCAGCGAAATGGGTAATTGGATTTATATTAATTCTTAATACTGGAGCACTTATCCCTCAATTTATCTTTCTTCATGTTTTTCAAGATGAAATAGAAGAAAGAAGTTGGTGTGTAGTTCGATATACGAATTGGATACAAATTTATACAATGGCAATGTTATTTATTCATTATTTTGTACCATTATGTATTCAAATATGTTCAACAATTTCAATAATTTTGATAACAACTCGTCAAAAAAGAGCAGCACAATCTGATCGAAGTTATTGGAGTCATTTGAAGAAAAAGATTCGTAAGTATAAACAACTCTTGATCAGTCCATTGATTATTATTTGTTTAACATTACCTCATTTAATAATTTCAATAATTCTGGATTGTCAAAAATCATCTCGATTGTTTTGGTTTTACTTAATTGGATATTTCTTATCATTTATACCAGCTGCAAGTGTTTTCCTCATATTCGTATTACCATCACCACTGTATCGAGCTCAATTTAGGCAATGTATTTTTCATTTAAAACAACAAATGAGCAGATGATAAGAATTATCAATGACAAATAATAATAATAATAATATGCTTTTGAGTGTTATTTGTTGTTGCGACGTTGAAATCAAATATACATGACTTTTTATGCTTATAGAATAAAAGATATTTTGAAAAGTTGGTTCAGAGTTTTAATAGAAAGAATTTCATATTTGTCTGTCTAAGAAAATTATGTAACGTTATCAGACATTTGTAACTATAGTAAATATTTAGTATGCCAGTGTTTTGTTGCAGTGGAAGTGTAGTTGTATGTCATGCTCTTGCAACAACTATTATTCATAAATGAGATCCAAATCAGAGTGCTGAAATTAACATAATCTAGTTAGGATCTAAAGATGCTGTATATTTGGTTGCTTTGCGTCGAAGATATAATCAAGTATACGCCATGGATGATATTCAGGATAGTACTAAAATGATTAGATCATTAGCGAGTAGCTGCCTAATTCGACTTATAATATAAGTGACCAATTCCTAGCACTCTTAGGAATAGAAATAGATTTAGTTTTTCTTATACATAGACACACTCTCACTTATATCTATCTCAATTGAGGGTGCTGCAGTGGGTGTGGGTGAGGGTATATATGTATAAGTAAAACTAAATCTATTTCTATTCCTATCTACTCATTTGTTATAAGTGCGATATAGGTATCTATTTATATTCTAATTGATACTAGCCTGTCGAGGGTCGACTTACAATATAAGTCGAATTAGGCATCTCATGTCGCCTACAGCAGAGTTTTTGCGGAGAGGAAACGTTGGCGGGGAGCATCGTTCGGGATATCGTGCTACTCTTAGTCCATTCACAGTCTTACTTCAGTTGTCATGATTTTATTTGTTTTTCTAGACATAAGTTTTTATAGTAATTAAATTTTATTTTAGAAACCTTTTTATAATATAATTACATTTTTATGGTGAGTGATATTTATTATTAAATTGTATTCAAACAAGTATTCTATCGAATTTAATGATGAGAGCAAGTGAGGATGTACAAACATCGTCTCATGCACACTTTGCTCCTCGGATCGGTCTTCTTCGATATCTATCGAGATCAGCAGAAGAACCAAACAACAAGACGATGATAAATGTCTTCAAATCAATTGTACGCACAGTCATCATATACGACTATCCTGTCCTTCTCACAGCCGACCAAAAAATATAGGATCACTAACAAATCATGCAGAACAAAGCAATCAGAGCTGCATTAGGTTTTCTCATATACACACCGGTCAAGTAGATACAGCAGATCAGCAACATCCCCGGGATCAAGGACTACGTAGTAGGACTTCTTAAACAAGCAGTTCAAGCAGCGACATCACGCTTAAAAATCACCTAGTACACATACTAGAAAAAATTTAAAAGAAATCACCAAAGTCGTATTATATAGAAGCGTCGATAAACTCGATCATTCTTGTGTCGGCCGAATCTATACAAAAATCGTTATATTGGAATAACGTACGAAACATTTGGTATATATGCAACAACGTATACAATATAAAACAAATTCAATTCAGCTGACTATTTTTTCGGGTTCATAAGTGTATTTTTAGTTTGATTTATTAATAATATTTACCGTTTATTTCAAAATAATTCTTTCGCTACATGAAAGTACTGTTTTACGATAGAAAAAAAATGAAAAACTCTAACAAAAAAGCGACTATTCTAACAATCAACACCGTTTTTAGTGGCCAAAAAGAATTTACAGTTGTTGTAAAACTAAAATTTACGTACCATAAAGGAAATTTGAATTCGTAAGCGTTCAAAAACTTCCGAATACACTAATACTAAAAGATAAAAGAAGAACGCGCTAAAAAATGAACCTATTTTGACAAAAAAAGAACAACTGTATAATTAATAAAAAAATTCAATTAATATGATGAATCTGCTTCAATGAAATGGTATCGATTTGTTCTAGTCTGAAAGCGAAAAAAAAATTAGGAACAAAACAGTTCTAGGCTTAATTTGCGAATGAGGTTATAGTATTACAACATTGTACTTATATACATAACGTTCGAGCTGACCGTTAGAAGTTCAATGACCAACAAGGAATTTCAATAATAGATATCGCTTGATCTTTAGAGAAGATCTTATTAAAACTTGTAAAACTACTTTCCCCGAAAATGTTGATCAGTTTTATTTATGATAAGGTTGCTAGAGCTTGAAAGTTCCCAAAAATTCGTCAAGATCATCAATTAACGGAAGTACCATATGTAATGGTTGTTGTTGTCATATGCTGCTGAATCCGACAAAATCCGGCTGTTGGATGTTGTCGGATACGATAAGTTCCAGCTGTCGGAAATGACAGGATTCTGCCCCCGGAATCCTGGTCTTTCCGATGACGTCGGACTGTTTTGAGATCCTTCAGGATCCTTGAGGGGATTTCGCCCTGGGTTCATATGTAATATCGAATCCAATCAACTTGTTGGCTGACTCTTTCATCACTACCTAATATGAGAAAAATTCCATCTATTTGCCGATTAAACTGTAACCGTTTAAACTCTCTTTCCTTTCCTTCAACTTGTTTTTCTTAGCATGACACATCACAGACGCACACCACTACCATACACAAATCATATCTTGTCCGTGTTTATTTTTCTCATCCTTTTCTTCTAGGACAAAAGACATACGTCATGGGTCCTTTCTTCTTTTATTTCTCGTGCCCAGCTTTCGTGTGACAAATATTCGTTGATTTTTGGCTTATGCAGTAATGTTACACAAAATAAAGCTATGTTACCAAAAAGAAAAAGAAAACGCACGCTTTCACCGCGGTACCCTTTCCGGGACGATAATTCTCATTTGTCTTTGGCAGAAGAAAAGCATCTTAAATTTCTTGACTAATTCGGACATGGATCCCAAGCAAACAAACGGAAAAAGAAATATAATATAAACAGCGAAAAGTATACTATTAAAATAGATGCTAATTAAAGACTTGGTTTCAATACCACTATACACGCATATTTGCATAATTGTTCGGGGAAAATTAAAGATTAAATAAAGAATTGAAATGGATAATAATTGAATTGTCATCTTACGAGCTTTTCGCCATTGAATCGCACGATTTAATCGAATTTTTTGCCATAAAACACGAAATAAAAGTGCACTACTAGCAATAACTATAGTAAATGTAGCAATAATTCCATGACAGATTGTGTCCCATTTTCCAAGAAAAGATTCTGACAGCGTACAGGGGACTGGAACTCCATTGAATGGTGATGGATTTATAATACCTTCACATGCTGGAAATAAGATATATACAAAGAAAAAAATAAAGCAATAAGTGAAAACGATTATCGTTGCGAGATAATGAAGGAAAAATCGTTTCTTTCTTGTTGCTAACCATTGTTGATGAAATATAAGAATATGTCGTTCAATACATGCCCAAGCAAAACCAATGATTTGTGTCGCATAACAGGTATAATCGACGAATGTCCATAAACGAGCAAATGTAGGAGATAATGTTAATATCCAACCGTTACCACAGTAGAAATAATATAACATTAAGGGAACAGTTGTTAACTGATAGATCAATCCCGCAAAGAGAAGAACAATTATAATATGATTATGTAAAGCTTGACGTAGTGTGCGATCAAAAAGAAGATGATATAGATTAAATGAAGAACATAAAATTGCAAGAATATCTGTAATAAGAAATAGCCAAAATCGGACAGAGAATGAAATTGCGATATCAGATTCAGTAACGGCTTTTTCTTGCGCCAGTTTGTAATATATATTTCTCATTTTGAATAAAGAAATTTTGAGCTTGATTGAAAGAAAATCGCAGCTTTTTACTCTAAAAAAAGAGATGTTTTCTCTAGCACATAGAATGGTCCATCGTAATTAATAATTCTGCTTCTCTATTCTTCGTTGTCTCATTCACAAAAGATAATGTAGGTTTATCCCATGAGACACAATAAGAGCATGACAACATGTGATGAACATTATTCTCATTAAGAATGTCGACAATGTTACTAATGTGGAGATGCTGACAAAAAGGAACTTTTTTCTGTAGTCTTATTAAAAATTAACGTTGAAATTAATAGAGAGTGGTCGTTTTCAATAAATTTTATACGTTTTGAACAAAAGGAAATATTAAGTGCTGCAGGCAGCATGATAAAATTACCAATAAATGAACTTTCTTTCTGGTACAAGCATATTAAATGGTAAGTACTTTCCACTCAGGTACAACATTACTGAGCACTTTTAATTATCTCAAACGCAATTGTCTAACAAATGATATTAATTTTTTAACGATGTTTATATTTTAAAGTAAAGCTTAATCCTTTTCCATTTTCCCTGCAATAATTTGCAATAACTTTTGCTTAAAGGGCGCTAGGACACAATGCTGCAAGGACAAAAGGTTGCAAAAGAAAAATGTTGCGAGACCAATTGGTTGCGTAAGCCAAACATTTTCGTGAATATATTGTCGCGAGTATAGTGTTGCATAAGTCAAATACTCAAATACCTAAATAGAAGATCGATTATTAATTATTCACCAAGCATAATTTTTCATATCTTCCGAGCAATTCCTAGCCATGCTTCTACGGCGTTGTTNATTATGTAACGTTATCAGACATTTGTAACTATAGTAAATATTTAGTATGCCAGTGTTTTGTTGCAGTGGAAGTGTAGTTGTATGTCATGCTCTTGCAACAACTATTATTCATAAATGAGATCCAAATCAGAGTGCTGAAATTAACATAATCTAGTTAGGATCTAAAGATGGTGTATGTTTGGTTGCTTTGCGTCGAAGATACGCCATTGATGATATTCAGGATCCTAAGTCGATCATTCTGGCGACTGGATCCGTTGAAATCTGAGCCGGTTTCAGTACAGTTTTCGCCGATTCCAGTAGGCCTCGGCAAAATCCTTGCCGCCGGATTTCGGCCGGAATTGATCAGGAAATATCTGATCAGTTCCTGGCCGTTTCCGGCTCAAAGTTTGCAGAAAACGGTTAGGAAATTACTGGAACCTACGTTTGAAATTCCGGTCGGAACCGGTGGCAAGGAAATTATCGAAAAACGAACTTAATCGGTCGGAACCGACCAAGCCATGATAACCTGGGATAGTACTGAAATGATTAGATCATTAGCATCTAAAAATATTTATATTATTCATTGTAATTTTGGCGACATTGATAAATTGGATAAGACAATTCCAGAAATGTCATCCTGAAACTCCTAGTAGCATGAATATTACGTTCAATACTGTGGCTAAAGTTACGCTGACTCATTTAAGTATTCCTATATACTTTACAGCAATTGGTGGACAAGCAAATATTTCCAGAAAATTTTGTGTTTAAGGTAATCGCATTATCATTTACAATCCTGATGAAAATACTTTTGAGATTAAAGCACAACAATTACGTACGGTTGATATTGACTTCAGAGTATAGAGTTTACAAGACTTCAATATAGCGGATAAATTACCAGCATTTTGTTTTCCTGGCTCTGCTGATATGTCACAGATGGTTCCAACAATCGGTAGATTTATCTCCCAAAGCTGATTAAGCAAACGATACGTATGGGTCGATTACCAAATTCACAATGAAATCTAACAATCAACGTCTTATTTTGTTATTTAATCTGGAAAATAAGACTTGTTCAAGAAAAACTACTGCTTAACACCCATTGAAGTTCAGTGGTAATAGACTAAATAAATAACGCTCGTCGAGACAGACTCGCATTACCCTCGACTGATTGAATTATACTTAAGATAAAACTTGCCCTTAGAAACGACATCTCGAGAACAGCCCTCATCAATTTAACGCTTTTCAAAACTAATCAAAGCGCTGTCATCGTTCTTGTTATTTATGTAATGTTGATTATTCGTGATCACTGTTCACATTAAGCGACAGTCTGTTATGAATAACTACTATGACCCTTGGATCTTTTAGTAATGAGAAACTCGAAATTTCAATTCAACTATTTTACTATTTGTGCAGTTTTCCAATTATTTGAATATTCAATTGCTTTCAAAACTCTTCTGTTCGCGCTCACTGAAATGGTGTTTCCTCAGGACCATTCTGCTCACTCGCAAGTATACGAATACTAGACTAATTGAACGGAGAGTTAGACAGTCGAGTTTAAGTTTCAAATTAAACATATCTGGCATTGTGACAATCTGCGATTGTACACTTTTTCTCTTTTCCTCATACACTGTTGATAACATGAATATATGCAACTTCCTTCTTCTCTCTTTCTGTTCCTCTTCACTGACAACAACTATCTGCTTTCTTCCTTCCTGTATGAACTTATATATTATATTAGCCTGTTAGTTTATATATCCAACTTAGAGATATTGATATCAGAAACGCACTCTTATGTATGATATGTTTATGCTCTCTGGCTAAACGAGGCTATGATCGCATGATCCTCTGGTTCACCACCTCACTGAATGATAGCAAATGGATTTTCTGGTCAAATTTTCCATCATTCTATATGGGCTTTCGTAGTGACGTGGGATCGAGTACCGGGCTATGGTTCTTCATTTAGTTTTCGAAATACATTTCAAGCTATTATAACGACGAACGGTATTAATTCTTCTACAATTTACAACTACAAGCAGCTTAAATGGTCCTATGACTCGGCGTCAAGCGGTATCCATGCTCAAACAGGTTTTAATGCAGGTTGCATGAATATTTCTTTTGCAATTGGAAAATGTTTTTGCATCAGAAGTACTGAGTATTGTTAATGATTCGAATGTAGTATATCCCGATCGATTTATCTTTACCATTGGTGGCGACATAACTAATGTTGCATGTAACATAACAAATGGTTTGCAAGTCGCGTCTTTTCGAGGTTCCACTTATGAAGGTTATGAAATTCGATTTTGTGCTATTTGTTTCAATGAATTAAATTACATCGTCAAAATAGGCGCACAGAAAAAAAAATTAGCAGAATACTCAACCCTCAAAAAAGGGTTTATAACTGAAAAATTCGTTTATTAGCGTAATCTGCCCCTTGATGAATCCTTTTTTGAGGGTTGAGTATTCTGCTCATTTTTTTTTTCTTTGTACAACGAAAGACGCTCTATTGATTGGAGAAAAACAATTCTTTTAATGTTTTTCCCAAAAGAAAAAAAAACATCCCTCACTACTTTTAGATAACCCTAAGTAACAAACTATACATGCCTTCAACAGTCGAAAAAATGATATCTGAAAGTGGATTTGAAATGATATTTAGAGTGTCAAAAGAAAATGCTTGTTTGACTTACAACGAATATTATGGCACGAAAGTTATGACGATGCTACAATTTCGCGAAAGTCTTGTGTGATCTTTATTTCTGCCTATGTAGCTCGAGGATGTAAAACCTGATCCAAAGGAAGCACCCTCGGTAACAATAAAGAGAGTAAAAATTTTCTGCTCTGATTGGAACAAAGTTTCTGCCTTGGTTGTTTTAATGAAAAGCATCACGCTGTAAAATGAATAATTTTTGAAAATAAAAATGACAGAGTAGCTCACAACGTACATTTAACTTCTCGCTTCAGAATGAAAGAAAGATAAGTATTTTCCTATTCAATTTACTGTTAAAATATAGTGAGGTTCATGGATAGACTCCATCGCCGTGAAAGGATTAATCACGAAATTTGAGTAACTAAAAGTATGGCATTTTTAGGCCTCAATATGAAGTCCAAACGCTGAAAGTTTCACACGATTTAAAGACATTTGTATATAATGTCGTTGAGATCGTATGGATCATCTCTTATTTATTCTAAAAATCTTATATTGGCAATGATGGAAAGTGTTACTTGGGGACAGGAAGTTACAATAAGCAAAGACAATAGTTAGAGAGAATCGTGTAGGTTTCTGGATTACGATAATGTCGTGAAAACAACATACTGGGTTCCTTAGCCATTGCGGCAACCACATTTCTGCTCACACCACGAGACGCAGTCGGCGATGCCCATTGCCTTGCATGGCTGTTTGCAAAGAACATAGCAGCTGCATTGGTTCCATAAGCCTCCTCCTTCAACCGACATCATGACCAAAACCAACATCAAGAGGATGACGACGAGTCGAGTATGATACATTCTTCAAATCAAATTTTTTAGACCAGTTCTACATAGCATGATAATGAAAATACGAGTTTATGCTAACTAAAATACATACCAATAAGTAATTGAATTGAATGTTTAGACGAAATGATATTAAAATGAAATATTCATCGAAATTTATATGAATTGTTATTTTTATGAATATTCATCGAAATTTATATGAATTGTTATTTTTATGAATATTCATCGAAATTTATATGAATTGTTATTTTTATGAATATTCATCGAGGATTATATGCATTGTTATTTTTATGAATATTCATCGAGGATTATATCAATTGTTATTTTTATGAATATGGCCAGGGGAGTAAAGCTCAAAGAAAATGTACTTTCGATTAAGACGCGCAGTTAGTTTCTATTTTAATCTTGATAAAAGATATACATCGGTTTCACGGAAAAAACATCACAAAATCTAACATTAGTAGCAGCAAGTTCTCTAATTTTCATCTCGGAAGAAGATACCGATGCACAACCTTCGTCCGAAGGTGGTATTTTACACAATCAAAAGAACGTTATTAATTAGCTAGTCACATTAGAAAAAATGATGGAAGCTCGCTTGATCGACGATGATCAACGGATAACGATTGCTTTATCTCTTCTTGACGGTACAGTTTTACAATGGTTTGTCAATCTTAAAATGAAAAATCAATATATTATTCCTAAAAAGTACAAAATAATTTTGCTCAATGTTTTCGAGAATATAAGGCACTCCTCACAGTAATAATCAATGAAGAGTTCACTTTTTCACTTTCTATTACGGTCGTTACTCAGTTTTTGTATTCTTTTTACGTTTCACCAAAACTTTGAAACATACAGCTGAACTTTGTGGCTCATCTTTTATTATGACAGTCATGAAAGTCAAAAAGAAAATGGAGAAATATAATTTCGATATACCCGCATATGACACGTTATGACAAGAAAGTTGAAAGATTTTCGTCTTTCTTTCGTTTCTCGCTCACAACAATCTATAAGATTAAAGAAACGCTTTGAAAAAACGTACTTAGACAACGTTTTATACCGTTTGCTACAATTCAACTAAAATATGATTCTTTAACATTACTTTGCTATTTTTCTACTCAATTCCCTCGACTGAAAGGAGGGTCATGTCGAAAAAAAGTAGTCAAAAAACGGAAATTCGTTTGCGTGTGTGTGTCTATCGCAGGTCAAAGGTCAAAGGTCAAAAAAACATTTTTTCCAAAAACGCTCAAAACTTCATAAAACATGGTTTGGGAGGGTGTTTTGACACTGAAAGTTGGTTGAGGGTGAGGACATGTGAGATAGGGTCGATGTTAAACGTGCGTTGAGNTACATCGAATCTTCTTTTCACCTATCCACGTTTTTTCGAAATATTCCACCAGATTTTCAGCTTCATCGTCGAAGTCATCAGCAAGTAAGTCGAACGCTTCAATTACTTCCGCCGCTGGAACGAAGGGGAAGGCAAGTCGTTTTCTAACATTTAATCGAAAAGTATCGTGGTCTTTATATTTTCTTGTTAAACCATTATCTTGCACATGACGCCAAACCGTCTGCCCAAAATGGAACAGGCAACCTAAAATACAGATTGGAAATTATGGCATACAAGTTATTTCCGTCTATTACCTCGATGGACACTGTTTGGAAAAATATCTTTGATAGTTTTTATTGTGCAGGATTCAAAATCACTAAGGATTGATTCTGGTTCGAAGTCGTCGCGTTCTAATACTTTTTCGAAGAACTTTTTATAATCGTCAGAGCTTTTGCCAATTAATAATCCGTAGATAAGTGGAATAACAACCGATTGCAACAACACGTGCACTGTGAACAATTGATAGAAGTCCTCTTGACAGACCTACATGAAAGATATAATTGCATTGTTTTGGTAAGATGAGATATGTTTTATCAAACCTTAAAGGTGCTGTCGACAAACCAATGCTTGCATTGCTTCAACAGCGATAAGTTCCTCGTTGTAGCAAAAATTATCATTTGATTATCTTCATATAAAACAAAGTCTTCTCCACGATCTGTTTTTCTAAGCAAGTCCGGTAGTAGACTATTCGAAGTTGAACATGGCGTAAGACGTTGTCTTCGAACAGTTCTTGCTAATGACGCAGGTGATGGTAGACTGCTAACTGCGGTCAAAGGCAATATACGTAATGACGATTGTATAATTGAGCTTGTTGCCTCGTCAGAACTCGCTGCTTTCATTTTGATCTTGATCATAGCTTCAATAGCAGGAGTTTGTTCTGGATTTGGAGCATGCGAGTGTGCTGTTGGATCCGACATGAAGAAATCCATAGATAAGTTCGTATGACACCGAGCTGAATAATAAATCAAAGGTACATTATATTTGTAATATATTTGCAAAAGCCAATTACCTTTACAGTTCTGATTTTTACAACGAAAAGTGCACTTGTCTTCTAATGTTTGTTCTAACGTATGAATGAAACGACGGTGGGCCACCATTGACCGACTTTTCTGGGACATGAGTTTCTCAATACGTGACATTTTTGTTGATATAATGAATTAAATCAAATTGTCAAACGATTCGTTCTTCATATATCCAAATCAGTAAACCAATCAAACATATGCAATTTGATTTTTGGTCAAGTAAGTAGATTATCCCTAATTATAAGAATGAGCTTTCTCTTTCAAGCGAATTGTTCTTATTCCATACATATTAATTAAGCTTCAAAAATAGGATAATGAACGTCTTGCTTTCAATTTATTTTATATGTCAGGATGCATGATACTCATTTTATCTGTTTTTATAATACAGAGCACAAAATCACAGACTAAAAAAAATATACCAGCTGACTCTCGCAACATTTTCTCCATACGACATCTTGTCCATACAACGTTTTGTCCATGCGACGTTTTGTCCAGACACTGCTTAAAGAATGTAAAACATACTAAAAAAGATTTACTTTTTGAATAAAAATGGTAGAAAAAAATCCTTTTTTTGCTTATTTCTCTTTTATGTAAACATTCTTTCAGTTTGTCTTTCTTATCTCAAATAAAAAGAAATCAAGTACTGCAACAGGAACGAATGTATACCATGAATGTAGTAAGGTTCTCGCGTTAGAGTTAGACTGCGAAACCACCATTTTCGATCACAATATCGACATATCTATTAGAACAAAAAAACTAGATTAATCCTTTGACGTCATACTTACTTTTCCTCTTAAAAAGATGAAGTCCAATTGCCAGAATTTAGTGTGGCATCTCAATTAGCATTGATCACAAATCTTTAACTTCTTAAAATCCAGCTAAAAATGCAATCAGCTTATTCCAAAGTAACAAACCTGAAAATTCCGCCAGTTGTAAAATTCCTCAAAATAAATTCATATTCAATGACTTCAATTACTTATTTCTTCAAAAAAGCATTCGTGTTAAATGCTAATCAAATAATACAAGATCATTATCTATATATAGGTGATTCCGCCGTATATTTGACACTTTATACGCGATCTTCGCCAAACTGATTTTAAAGCTTATATTCATGTGGAGCATAGTCGATAACCTATGCTTGTCCACAAAAAATTTGCTCTAAAATCAGACAGCGAGAAGAGCAGCGATCATCAATGTCTAGTATAAATACGAAGATCAAAGAGATCCTTTGTTCGTATTGGTTTAATAGAGACCAACGTAGAATTCCGCAGCATGGTGACTTAGCAGGTTCTGAAGGGCGGCTTTTTCTCTACAACTCCATATAGAAAACTTTTCGGGGGAGTCATGATGTTTTAAGTGAGTTTTTTTGCTACACTCTTATTGCATCACCTGTAAACTAGAATTAAACTACATAGAAAAAATTTGATTTTTTGAAATCAACACTCCTCCGAAAAGTTTTCTCTGTGGAGTTGTAGAGAAAAAGCCGCCCTTCAGAACCTGCTAAGTCACCATGCTGCGGGATTCTGTGTTGATCTTTTACTAAACCAATATGAACAAAGGATCTCTTTGATCTTCGTATTTATACTAGACATTGATGATCACTGTTCTCCTCGCTGTCTGATTTTAGAGCAAATCGTTTTGTGGCCAAACATAGGTTATCGACTATGCTCAACATGAATTTAAGCTTTAAAATCAGTTTGGCGAAAGTCGTGTATAAAGTGTCAGATATACGGTGGAATCATCTATATATAAAGAAGAAAGTTTGTCTGTTTGTCCGCTATGCATTCAGTCTCTGTAATAGTTATCAGCACCAAACTTTCCACGATACTTCCCGAGGTTCAGAGAAAGGTCGACATTTATTTTGTTTTCAAAAAAAGCACCGCACGCTTGCGTTAGGCAATCCACGAAACTAAACAATAGGACTACATGATTTCAAAAGATTAAGATAAATTTTATGGGTGAGTGAATGCGAAGGATATAGGGTAGGAAGTGACGCGAGAGTGAAAAAGATGTCGATGAATATCAGGTTAAGTGGAAATTTTAATCATTTCTGAGGTAGAAATCAGCTTCGGTAACTCTTTTGCATAAAGAGCTATCACTGACATTATCGCTTTGTGCGATGCACATCGAAAAAAATTAGAATCACAAGCGTATAAGCTTGAAGTCTATTTATTTTTCTATTTACTACAGCTTTTCAACATGTCAGACGTTCGACATAGATATTTCTTTTTGCCCACCAGATACCGCTGCTAGTATAAAATAAAGGAGAGAGAACAAGAGATAAAGTATATATTATATGATAGTTAATTAGATTCATTGATAAACACAAAACTAATAAAAACTAACAATCTTATAGAGTATTCTATATTCGTCGTTGAATAGGACCAAGAGAACCATTAGTTGTATGTTCTCGATCTTGTCGTTTGATGACTTGTAAAATAAATCTTTTGAGTTCATGTCGAAACGCTTTCGAGATGATTATATAAAGATAAAAATTAACACAATAATTTAAATATAATAAAAGAATAAGACAAATGAAACCCAAAAATGATTCAATTGCATTTTGATCTACACTTTTATTCGGTATATTACTTGTTAAGACAGTATAAAGTCTATTTATTGGATAGAAAGTCGTAAGAGTCATACCAACAATAGTTTCAGCTAAGACAAGTTTGATTAAAGACATATCACGTCTAGAAAGAACATTTCTTGACTCATTGTCGCTTTGTATTTGAGGTTGAACACGATTACGTACTTTTTTCAAATTTTTCGCGATTAGAACAGCGAAAATAATCTGTATAATTGGCAAAATTAAACCATAAATACAAATTTGATAAATACTAAAAAATAATCCATATGTACCAATGACAAAACATCGGTTATTTTGTATCGTTTGATTAAGTGGTAGATGTATTGAGATAAATAAACCAAATAGAATACCAACAATAATAACTTTGATTGACATTTTCGATGTACTGAAAGATCGTATTCGAATATTCGTTGAACATAATGCAAAACGATCAATACATGCTAATGTTATCACTATTTTATATATAAGGATTGAAGATTGTAAAATAAAAGCTCGAAAACGACAAAGGAAAAGTGATTGAGTAAATGGATCAGGTGGATAATAACTTGCATACATATTTGATCCAATTCCCCAACTAACACCAATGATACTAAAGAGAGAAGCAACTAATAAATAGAGTGAACATGGATTTTTTCGATGATGTTTTCGAGTGAAGATGATGATAATAAATAGATTTCCAATAATACCCAATGTTAAAGATATTGGAAATATATAACGTAAAATTCTATCTTGTATAGATGAGAGAGATATTGAGAGAGAAGACATGAGAAATAATTGTAGATTGTAATGAATAAGATAAGAGATAATGAATTATTCGTTATCTTTTAATTCATAATGATTTAATGCCTTTTTTTATAATCGAGGGTAAATCCAGATAATGAATTAATATTTCACGAGAAAGTTCTTTCCTTATACTACATTATCCCTCAATCTATTGTTTCAAGACTTCCTGTTTTTTTGCACATGTTTCACACAAAATTGTATAGAGTTAATCTATTTTATTTTACTTAGTTGAAAAAATTATATTAATATAATAAGTGAATATTCTCCGACGTCGATATTTTGTTGAGATTTTCTTGACTGCCATAAACAAATTTCCATACTGTGTTCATAAATTTGATCTCTACGTCAAGATACTTATAAAGAGATACGATATAGATTCTCTTTTATCTTCTCCAAGATAATTAACAAAAACACTTATTTGATTGGGTGAATCCATGGGAAACGTGCCACTTTGTACACGACTTTCTCTGAATTTGCTCAAACTCTCAGGGTTTGTAGAGCTCGATGTGCTGATCATTTTGGTATAAAAATACCCTGGGTTTGCGTATGCTTTGACTCCGAACGGCCCCAAATAAAGTTTGACGAAAATAGCGAAAATCAGGAAAATTCGGGCGGTCCTTGACAGTATTTTTCATTTTTTATCTCTATAGAAAATCGAAACCCCAACTATTTATATATATTCTGATAGTCCGTCTTCCGCTCTATCAAGCCATATGTAAACCAAATAGGTCGGTTTAATTAAATGAGGCTATGAAGGAGCACACCTTCATGAACTTGACTCCTCTATTGCTCAGCTCTGCCGAATTTGGGTGGACTGGGGTATAGTGGGTTTTGTAGAGCGTCTCTTGCTCTATCTCGTGGCGTATAAGACTCCTCGCCCGGTTTCGGCTTTCAATCGTTAGACAGCCGGAGAACGTACGTGATCATTTTAGACCTGATTCCGAATTTAGGTATGTGTGGGTGTAGGCGCCGATGAATTGCAGAATTCAAACCCATCCTTCATATCAGCCACCCTCACCCGTAATACTCAATGATCGCTGTAAACGTGGTACGTTTCCCATGGATTCACTCATTGTTAAACACTATTCAGGTCGAGAACTATATGAACTTCATATATGACGCAGTTTATCTTCTAGCGTTCTACTTTTCATAATTATTCTTTTCAAATAAAAAGGACACATTGTGCGGTATACTTAAGCTTTAATTCATCATTGAATATACTTCTTCGCAGTTTATTCTTTGATAACTTGTTAAATAAGATAATGTAAAGAATATTCAAATACGATGCTTCTCAAATTGACTGAAATTGCGTTAAGATCTTCCAATTCATCAATGAAAACTGTCACTTTAAAAATAATAGAATCAAGTAGTTGAACAAATTCTCTTTTTTATTTCAAAATTAAGTAGATGACGATATAAAAGTTCATGAGTAAGTGTACGCGTAATAGAAAATTAGAAAATAAAACTAATCCATCGTGCAAAATGTTTACCTTCTTCTTACTTAAAATGAACTCCTTGATAAGGATTAATCACATGCATTTAGTCAAGTATCCCAATAAAAGAAGAGTTTTAGAAGAATTTCAATTGATTTACGAGAAGCTTGAATAGTAGATAGATTCATGTGTATAATAATAATAAACAAAAATTTAATTGTAAACATTAAAATTGTTAGGAAAGATGTGATTTATGAGGTTATGTAATAGATACAATCCACATCCAACTGTTCGTAAAGGACGGAGGCGTATAAGAGCGTAAATCGACCCATTTCAAAAGCAACTTGCCAAATATTTAAAACTATGCACAGTGACACGGTGAATCTTTCTACACCGAGTTCAAGTCAATTTGTAACTATGCGAAAAGCTTCCGATGGACAATACTACTCAGTATTTTTACTAAATTTTTACCCCATCAAGATAGTGTATTTTGTGAAAATATCATAACAAAAATGACTTCGTATTACCTACCAAATAACTCTATTAGAAAGAAAAGAAATTTTGTACAAAAGTATGCATAGGGTGAAGTTATGATGACTGAATAGTGTCTATATGAATATTGTGAGGCATAGCATAAGGATCTTTCGTTTAAAGGTACACAAGATGACTTGATGATAGAATTTCTAATATAGTGATCGATAAAGCCTTTCATGCGCTGCAAAATGGTAGTTTTTTTTTCTTTTGAAAAATCTCTCTCGAATGGTGCTAGTTGAGTGAGGGTCTATCGATCACAAGGGAGCGGATATCATCCAACAACCTGTACTCCTAATCATCCGGAGATTAAACATGTGTATGATAATCCACATACATGATATAGCTGTAAGTGAAAGTGTCTGAAAAATGAAACTATAAGCTTCAGTAGAGATGCAATAAATCCAAATCTAAAGTTTTGAGTCTGTTGCATCACTAAATAAATCTCTCATACATACAACATCGAGTCCAACGTCAACAGTAACAAGCGGCGACTTACGTAAGAACCTTGTTTTGTCCACTATTCGATTAGCTTCATATATGTAACGTTTTTTACAATTCATTAATTACTCTATGCGAGCAACATTCGTCTCTACATCCACGACTGAAAATTTACCATCAACGGAATATTTTTCTTGGTGTTTTCGTGGTTTAACACGGCCAAGATTTCCTCTGCATGAATGTTCTCTTTTTCTAGCAAACTATATTATGAAGTTCAGGAATTCTTCATTGGCCTTCCTAATTTTGCCTTATCCGATAAGTTATAAATTTTTATGATGAAGAAATAACGAGAATACTATCAATGAGCGAATAGTCTGCTTGAAACAAATTGTTCACAGAACAAGAGAAAAGGAAAATGTGAGACGTGTTTCTAATTAAACATATTCTACATATTTGCCTATCCATTCTGATCTCTTTTTTCTACCATTCTTTATCATGTTCGCTCAATATCAACCAGTGCCATGGGTTTACTCTCGATTCGTCCCGGATTGGTGAATTCCCTCGACTTAAGGGAGGGTTTTATTTTTTTTAAAGTTTGTGTGTTTGTGGGTGCGATGGTTAAAAATTTAAAAAAAAACATTTTTCTCGAAAAATGCTCAAAACTTCATAAAACATGGTTTGAGAGAGATCTTAAAGTTAGATCTTAGTTGAGAAATGTATGCGGAATAAGTGAAGTTGAAGTTGGAAGAACACCCCGAGAGAGCGTTCGTAGCTAAGATAGTCAGCGTCATGATATGCTTCCCTCAACCGAAAGGAGGACCATATGAAAAAAGTAGTTAGTGCTTATATGTCATTATCAAAGATCACTTGATATAAATATGTAATGGTTCACCGTCTCATCCAGTTAAATAACTAATCAGGTTTTTAGAGTCATAAAATAGTAAGTAGCTACGTAGTACTGAATTCTCAAATATGAATTCAATATGGTATTCTTGTATTTAGAAGTTGCATTCAGACATTCGACTACTGACCATATAATATACAGGATTAAATAAGACGCCAGGACGATGGTACAATAAGAACAAATGATACAACCAATAAGGCAGAAAGAATATCTTTATCTATGAGTGTCATACTGCTCGTTTTCTGCTACGGGTGAGTGATTATCACGTCGTTGCTGTAAAAAGAAGACTCCTAATTAAGTGAGAATCGAAATTTTCTTCATGAAAAGACACCTTCGTGTTCCATTGAGAAACATGAACGCATTTCCCATTAGATACTTTTTATTCTTAATCAATTATGGATATTCTGTTAATACTACTGACAAACTAATTGCTACTGGTTAATGATTGTGGACAACGAATAGTGAGACAGCGGCATACTTTTTCACGGCGAGAAAGTCTTGAATGTAACCATAGCTTCAGAATAACAGAAAGCAGTCGCTGTTTGTTTATTAAAAACCATTTAGTGTTTTGAATAGGTTCTGTTTTTGCTAAATATTGGATAAACTTTGAGGAATTAGCAATAAAATAAATTCACGTTTATTAGATAAAAAGAGCATTCCTATCTACGCAAAAAATCACCCGATCTCACATAATTTCACTGGTAGATGCCTTTTTTCTTTCGGTTCTGCCATCCAATTGTCTTGTCGTGGTCTGTTCATTAGGTCATGATTGGCGTCTGTCTCGCATGTTATTATATTTCTGTTACATTGTTTCTAATGTTTTCGGCTGTATTTCGCATCATTTTCTTTTATTCAGTTCGATCAGATATACCCTCTTTAGCAGATAATGAATAAACAACAACTTAATCGGTCAATAAACAGCTTCTTAGAAAAGTTCAAGGAATCTATTTATATGTTTCTAAGAAGAAAAGATCGAATAAACCCTGTTAATTGTTTTGAACGTCACTAGCACATTTATTGTAATGCATAAATCTAAATCAGTCAATGTCATATGAGCTATCTATATTTATTGAGCATTTCCAACATATGTGATCGGAAAAAAGTGAATGTATTCAATTCGGAAAGAAAACGGCACATGTTTAGATGACTGAAGTATGAATTCACTAAATATGTGGTATGAAATGGAAAAAAATGAAAATAGTACAAGTGAAATGACAAAGATTGTTCCCTTGACTGAAAGGAGGGTTGCATAGAAGAAATTGATTGTGAAAAAATAGAAACACACTTGGTTGACTGTCGCATATCAAAGGTCAGTAATCCAAAAATGCAATCATTCACAAGTTACATACTCGGGCGCAATCTTAAATAGTAAGCTCCGATATATTGAAAGTTTCTGTAGGCCTTCAAGCTTTTTAATAAGGAGATAACCGCAGTTGTTCGGACGCTGATAATCTAGCCAGTTACAAAAGTATAAACAATCTGATACGTTCGGGTTCGAAATCTATACATAGCCTCATTTTATCTTACTGAATTTATGTTTCTGTTAGAAAAACGAGGACATGTTTAAAGGTGCAAATCCATAATAAACATTTATAGCGAACTTTTACTTCCTGTGAACAGTGATTGTCAGTCAGGAATATCAAATAATCGAAAGGAATACAAGGAGTCCTTTGGTTCTTTTGAAGACTATGAGGCAAATGGAGATCAATCTCTGGGTACCCTTTCAAAGGCTATACGTCTGTCTTTTTTTGCATAAAATGCATATAAGATTATAGTATGTTCAGTCAGTAGTTCAGTCGACAGTACAGCGAGTTCACCTCGCCGAGCGTTACTAGTTTTTATGCATTTAACAATATATTATATTTTCCTATATATAACTTAGGTTATCGTCACTTTTTCACCAGCACCATATCAAAAGAGACAAGAAATTGAAACAGTGTCCGATAGCCTTCAAAGAACAACGAAGTGGAGTGGAATCTCATTAAAAAAGCTTTGCGTCGACAAGAAGAGATGTTTGAAAGACAATGTTTAGAATTCGAAAATGAGCGTACACGACATAAGAGTCAATTGAACGCTGTACGTAGAGAAATGAGCCGAGCTCAAATGAATTATAAGCGACTTCAAAGCGATGACAGAACTACTAGTACACCTCTAAAAAAGACACGGGCTGGCTATAAAGAACTTTAAAAGATCGCTCACTCAGCTCAATACGAAAATTGAAAGGCAACGACTACCTTCAAAACATTCGTCTTGCGTCATTTCGTAGAACTTTGCTGAAAATCTTTTATAAACTGTCTGAATAATTTTTCAATGAATACAATAAACTCAAGTTGATTCATAGTACTAAGCCGCCGATGTGTTTGCATCGTATTCCTGCACACCCTTTACAACATTATATTGAATTAAATTTCTTCTTCATCATCTTGATGTTCTGTCAACATATAATCAAGATTGACATATAAAAAGATGCTCTAATCCTTGCAATATCAATCATAAAAAAAAAGATTCTTTCTTTTTTCTTCACACAAAATATGTCATCTTCATCTATAGATGCGGATATTGCCACAATATTAAACAATGCCACGAATCAAATCAATCGATATATTTCGTTGGTAGTATTTATATTTGGTATCATTGGTAATATTCTGAATATTTTTGTCTTTTTACATCGTACACTCAGATCCAATTCTTGTTCATTACTATTTTTAACAGCATCAATTGGAAATATCATAACAATAATAAGTGGTTTAATAACACGAATGTTATCTGGATGGTCTGCTGATCTTACAAATACAATTGATTGGCTTTGTAAATTACGTATTGTTGTTCTTTGGACATCACGAACATTTGTTATGTGGATTCTTATGTTAACAACTATTGATCGATGGCTATCATCATCTATTCATGTCCATTATCGACAAAAAACTACATTGAAGAATGCTTATCGAGGAATATTTCTAGTATTATTATTTTCTATAATTCTTAATATTGATTTACTTTATTGTTATCAAGCAAATCTTCTCAATACACCATTAAAATGTTATTCTAAAACAGAGATATGTCGTTTAATTACAGATTTTACTTATGCATTGATTATTTATACAATTCCATTAATTTCAATGACTTTATTTGGTTTAGCAATTATAAAAACTATTCGTCAAATGCATCATCGCCGTGTACAACCAATAGTGACAACAGAAACACCTAATGGATTGCAAACTGTTAATATACCGATTGATAATTTAAAACAAAAGAAAAAAATTGATCGACGTTTACTACGAATGCATCTTATTCAAGTATTTATATTGTGTACCCTTAATTTACCTGCTGCTATTCAAAGACTTTATTCAACGTTGACAATCAATAATGACAAATCATTAATTCAATTATCAATTGAGAATCTTCTTTTCAATGTTGTCATTCATTTAAATTATATATCAAGTGGAATAACATTTTACATATTTACTTTATATGGAGGAAAATTATTTCGAAATGCATTTTGGGACTTGATGAAAAATATTTTATTTATCAAATAAATTTATCGTAATATCATTTTTGATATGATAGTACAATTTAACTTCAGGTTTTTTGTTAAGAAATAATCCTCTTAAACTGTCGTATTAGAGTTTTGCCGATTACAAACTAATTTACTCATAATCAGATAATTAGTTTTCTATGCGAAACAAAGAAATGACATCAATTTTAGTAAAAGAATTCTCTCCGTCATGACATTTGACTTATCATCAGTAAGATTTGTGTTGGTACGTCTGTTCAACTAAACTTGTAATGTGTGCCTAGCACATTTGCATTCTAGTTTACAAAATAATGACATAATGTTACAATCATAATGTATCATTTGTCAGTTTTCTCGTCAATGACTTTCATTTTCTTGTTTGCTGATGAAGATGGTTCGTCCTTTTCATCATTTGAATTATGGCAGACAAGCAAACTTTCTCATAGACGTCTTTGAGATGTCGATAAGATGGAATTGTAGTTGGTGAACGAAGAAGTGTTTGAGATGCTTGGTCAAGTTTCACTTGATCTCTAACCTATCAAAACCAATTCGATTAAAATCATTTCAATTTCATTTCACCTTTAAAGATGCGAATCAAAGAGCATTTCACATCGATCGATAGCACTCGAACTGATGGAATAACATCGTTCGCGTTTCCGCCTACCAGTGAATCTTTTTCTAAAGTATGGGTGTTTTCACAGGTTAAATCTTGTGCAACCAGTGTCAGAGAATATGGACCTAAAAATGAAATAAAACCCAGCTACTCCCTCTGTCCACTGTATCCTTACTAATAAAAAAGAAAACAATGCATTGCTATTCATCATACACTCAAGGATCTATCGTCACTACAAAAGAAAAGAAAAATCTTTTTAGTGATCGCTGAATGACTCCCTTCATCAGGTATACTGAGTTTTTCTCACTTAACTGAATCAGTATTCGTCAACCACTAGATGCACACATGTTTTCTTCTTACTCAGAAGAACTAAAAAATAAATATACTCACTTTTCAGTTATTTTGAATTTTGTTTAGCTTGCCAATAGAGATTTAATTGAATCGAATCAAAATGAATTGTATACTATTATTATTATTATTATTATTATTAAATAATTTTTGATCAGTATTTGGATAAAAACTCCTTAGACTTGAGGGAAATGTCTTGGAGAAAATCCATTCGTTTTCTGAACAAGTTTCTCCCAAAGATGTTCGATATAAAACCGCATTACACCAATCAATTAGCTTTTCCTCGTCAAGTTCATATATAATACAATTAGTCAATTCATCAACACCTTGAACTGGTTTTCTCATCGCTAATGATATTTTTGGACCATAATATTCAATTGAATTTATCACTGTACGCAATGCCCCATGACCAAATAAGGTGACCTGATGTAGCACACGATGGTAACCTTGATCAAATGATTTATCAATTTGTTCGTCAAAGAGTTTTAATTCATTTTTAAATTCATTGATAACAACGTCACGAACAGGACCCGACCCCATATTTGTACAAACCAATATACAAAAGATTTGTTTATCTTTACATAATTTTAATATTGGCTGAAGTTAATTTATATCAGCAAATGATCCAGGTGATGCACAACAAATAATTCAAATAGGAGATCTTTCTTCAATAAATTGTTTCTTCTCTTTTTTGTTCTATCCGTGATTAAATACTAGGTGTATGAAAGAAATTGATTTGAAATGGTTTTATTTCTGATGTTAATTGTTGATAATCTTGTAATGTATAACATTTAATTTTTTTTGAACATGAGTTAAGTCCTGGACTTATTTCAGCAATACCTTGACCACATAAAGCATTGATTAATTGACTTTTTCCAACACGTAGTGAGCCAATTAAAATCACATTAAATTGAAGTTTATCAACAACATGTTCGACTTCAGTGGGATAATATTGTTTACTTAAACTATCTCGAATATTCGATGTTCTTGTATGTAGTAATTTAGTGACAATTTCTTTTTTAAAACTGTTGTTTTGAAGATTTTCAGCAGATGTATAAACTAATTCTGGTAAGGATTGATTTGAAGGATATTTGCAGTTGAATTGTTATTGGCTTAAAACAAAAACTTACCTTTCAGAAGTTATACTGTGAAATCTTCGAGAACATTTCATATTAAATGATTATCATAATTCGTAAATATGATTTGTTCTTCACAAGATTCACATATGGAACAGTATCATCAACTACAATCTTTCTTTCAATTTCTATGAAAGAAGAAGTTTTAAAGAGAAAAATCGAATGAAAAAATGAACTTCTGCGTATGTCTGAAGCATTTCAATTATTTGGTAACAAACCTTTATTCGTGTACAACACTACATAGACGAGTGAACTCCAACGCGTAGTTGCCACACGAAAGCTTGGAAACATGAAAAAAAAGAAAAAGAAGGACCCATGACTTATGTCTTTTGTCCTAGCAGAAGAAGTGAGAAAAGTAAACATGGAGAAAAATATCTGTTAGTATATGGTAGTGGTGTGCGTTTGTGGTGTGTCACAAAATAAGCGAGAGGAAAGAAAGAAGGAGAGTAGGGAAAGAACCAGCTAAGACATTGACTCGATTCAATATTGTATATGGAGAAGAGAAACGATTTAGCTGGTAACGAAGGAATCAGCATATACACCAAACGTTTCGTACGTTATTCCAGACATGGCCAAGTCAAGTCAATATTTTACTTCACTTGGGAAAAAAACCGATGACTTACCCATGTCGTTGTTGTTTGTCGCTGTTTGAATTACTAGTTTAGGTAGTCATACTGCATAGTCCTTGATCTTTGAGATGTTGCTGATCTGGTGGATATATTTGGCCGACATGTATATGGGCAGACCCAGTGCAGCTCCGATTGCTTTGCTCTGCATGATTTGTAAGCGGTCCCATATTGTTTGATCGTCTGTGATGACTGTGCGTACAATTGACTTGAAAACATTCATCATCGTCTTGTTGTTTGGATCTTGTGCTGATCTCGGCAGATATCGGAGGAGACCGATCCGAAGAGCAATCTTAGCTTCGATATGTTCGAGATGTGTTCGCCACTTTAATCTTTTGTCTATGATGATACCTGAGTATCAAGTCGAATCCAGTGATTTGAATAATGTGTTTTCGACTTTAGAAACATTTGAATGATCATCTTCATCTAGTACAGTACAATTATTTTCTATATGATAATTATAAATTGATCGTTGAATATATACTTTTCACAAATGGGACATTGGTTCGTTTTACTTCCACAATGAAATAAATGGCAACTCATATCTTTCAAAAGAATTTCTTCATCACAAAATGCACATGCATGAAAACGATTCGAATAAATTTCCTTTAAAATGAAAAACAAATCTTTTCTTTTGTAAAAGTAGATTTATTTACTCTATGTTGCTTTAGTTCATCCGAATTAGAAAAATCTTGACCACAGGTACAAGTATACATTCGCCGAGATTTAATTGTGAAGAAGGAACTATCTCATAGGAGAATGTGACACAGCATATGACGAATATAATTACTTCTAGTGACATCTTTAATAACATGTTATTTGACTTCAAACTACTCACAGATATTAAAAAAACTTTTCGGAAGATGAAAATATACATTTATAAATACAAGCAAAAGAATAAGAAAGTTTTACGACATCATGTTTGTTCACTTTTCAGCCGTTTAGGTTCGTTTTCCGACCATTTCCTCGCCGCCAGATTCCGACCGGAATCGGGAGGAGCTGTACAGGAACCAACTCAGATTTCAACGGATCCAGTCGCTGGAATGATCGACCTGGGCAACTAAAAAATGGTTAATGACAAGACGTCGTTTGTTGTTATACTGCGAAGCATAAAATATTTCTCATTCATAAATATGATTAATGACGCTCATCTTTTGATAATGGAATAATGTTGGTTCTATTATGATAATAATACAATCCATTTACGGTTTCCGGATTATTTTTACCACTCCAGTTATTATGAGGAAGCCGACATCTATGTTTATAGCGTGATATGTTAAATAATTGCGGAGACGATGATTCTCTCGATTATTTTTTCATATTGTGTGTCCATATTTCACAATCCTTCTCTTTTCCTGATCAATTTGGATATTCAGGAAATATTTTTTTATAGCTCAATTTGAAAAAAGATCGATAAAAGAACATAATCAGATAAATTTTATAATAAATTAGAGTATCTATATATTACTATGTTTCCTCATTAATTGGTTTGCGTTAACAAGTCCTGAGGATGATTCAAGAGGTGCTAAGTTAATTCGAAGGTAAAAATTTCAAGTGCGCTCGTCTTCGAATTTTGTGTCGTTTTCTGAATTATGACGTGGTTCGTTTGAAAGATTCTCGAGAAACACTGCGTATCTCAATTAACGAAAGATAATGTAATTTACATTAGTTTTTCTCCAGCAACGATTCTGATTTCTTAAAACTAAAACATATTTTTAAATATATAAAATCCGCTTCAGTTAATCCTTTTATTCTTATATCTGTCCTTTTTTCGTCTATAGTCAAACCATGAATAGTGCTCTTTAGACATTCTCATTTTTCTTTTAACATCTATTTTCGTCACAAAACTCATAAAAAAGATCGCCATCAATCAAGTCTACATTTGCATTTATTATTCTTTATTTAGAGCTGGAACAAAAGTATATATACTCATACTTTTTATACTTGAGCACAGAGATTTGTGTTTCTAAACTAGGAATTAAAACATGACCAAAATGATTACTCTGATTGGCGAAATGCTTTTTGTTTAATTGATTTTTGATCATTTTGTTGTAAGTTCAATCGATCATCCTTAGATATAATGTAGACATACATTAGAACGAAAGCATGAGTGTGAGGAGCTGGATGAGAAATAGTATGAAATTGCGCATCTACTGGAAAAACAAAAAGAAAGATGAATGAGGACACATACTGGTTGAATAGTGAAGAAAATTCTATAGAGCTATTTTCTAACAAATAATACCGTAAAAAACATTTTCTTTATTATTGTTTCACATTCTTACCTCAAGTACGAGATACGAAGTATTTATTTCACATACAAGAAAACATATTTTACTTGTCAAACTTGAAATAAGTTGATATAGCGACACATATAAGCATGTGTGATTCAGGAAATGTACCATTTCTTTTTGTTACAGTCAAAACTTCAATATTTCTAATATTGAGTTACATAAAACAAGGAAATTCTTTTATGTCGTTTGAGATTATATTCATTGTCTGATGTGTCATCAAAAACAACAAATGATTTTATTCAATTTTGAATTTATTCTAACAATGTATAAATCGGCATAAATCTTAAAATATGTTCTGAATCTTCGATATATCAAATATATATCTTAGAATAGATTCAAAAACTGCAATAACAGCTGACCTGTGCAATTCAATTTTTCTGTCTTATATTCTCTATGAGAGAAAGTTGAACTGAAGTTTGCTTATGTAAATCCAACAATTCATGAAAATACTCTCGAGAGAAATTATCTCAATACTTGTCTATTCAATAAATTGCGAAACAATCGATAATGTGATAGCTTTAACATGCCTTTGAACTCATTAAAATTTCCTATGTAACGCACATAATAAAAATGAGTTATGAGACCATTGTAATTTCTTTTTTGTCTTTAGATACAAATTTAGCATGACAACTAACTCATCTTGTTCATTCAAACCAATCCATGAACGTTGGAAAATACAGTATGAGATATACTGTTATCTTCTGCAATATGTTAGAATATATTCTGTGTTGCATGAAATGTTTCTCTGATGAAAAATAAATTGTCATAAGATAAAGTATCTTTGAGTATGTTTAAAAACACTTCGATGGAAAACATCATCGATTCGATAATTGATAAAAATCTTGTAACTCTATGTAAACGTCAGTAATGATAATGATAAGAAGAACAATATAAAATTCGAGTATTGCTATGCATACGGTCAATATTTTAATATAAACTGAATGATTACGTTAATGGAAAAATTAATCAGGCAATTTACTATTAAAAATATGACAATACTATTCTCTGCTTTTTTTCCTTCTGTTATAGCAAATAACTTATTTACTGATCCATATGACTGAATGTATTTTATAGCTGCATTAAGAACTCGACAAATTTTTACATCAGAGTTTGAATTACTTTTTTTTTCTCAAGGAGCTCATCCATATCCAGATATGTACTCATTAACAATGTAATAAACAGTTTCTTTTAGCTGACAACTCAGGATAATTATGCTCTTTTCGAAAATAAATAGATGTAAAAAGCAGAAAAATAAAATATTCCGAGTTTTTCTCATAATGCATTCATTCATTTTCAGTTAAAAAGACGTATTCTTTGATGTTTTAATCTATCATAGTTTTTGCATACAATTGTTTCATTCAATATAAAAAAAACTATTTTTGCTTTATACGTTCATATTAGAATCATGTCGCTATGGTCACATAGAACTCAAATATTTGTTTTATATGGTGGTTTTCCATTGGCTGCTATAAGTCTTATTGGTTGTATAATGAATATAATTACATTTTCATCTGTACGAATGTATCGTTCTCGATCATGTACTTTCTATTTATCCATAGCAGCAGTTGCTCGATGTTTACATATATTAGTTGCAGGATTATCTCGTGTTCTTGCAATTGGTTTTAATATTGATCCAAGTATTATTTCTCCTTTATGGTGTAAAATGAGATTATATATGATCATAACTTGTTATGGTATAGCAGTTACATGTGAATGTTTGGCGACAGTTGATAGTTTTTCAATGACATCACTTTTAGTTAATATACGACGATGGAGTAACATCAAACGAGCGCATCAAATTGTTGTTTGTGTAATTCTTTTCTGGGCACTTCACAATCTGCCAAATATTATATTTTTTAATTTAAAGTAACTTAAAACTTTTTGAAACATAGCTAACAAAAATGTCTTTCTTCATATTTAGTGCTAATAGTTGTGTCAGTTCTAGTAGCATTTGGTCCTTTTATGTCAATTATATTATTAATTGGGCTTTGAATTTAATAATTCCATTGACTATTTGTACTGTATTTGGTATACTTACATATCGAAATATACGCACTTTAAAGGCAACAAATCAATTACAAAGAGCAGAACGTCAACTTACCCATATGATTTTTGGACAACTAATAGTAATTATTAGTCCCATTATGATCTATGTAGCTTATTTTATATACGCATCATCAATGACAACATTAAACAAAACAACAGAACAAAATGCTTTTGAATATTTTATCTATAATGTTGTTAATATAATATTTGCTTTTATTTATGGAGTATGTATCATATTCTATCGACATAGTACGTTATGTTAATTAATTTTCTTTTCTTCTAGAGTAGTTTTTATATATTTCTTATTGTTTCAAGTACTTTTCGTCAACAAGCAAAACGCTGCATGTGTTACTTTTGTAAAAATCCAAATGCAGTAATACCTATAGCAAAAATCTAACCATAACAGTACTAAATATTCATTAAAATTTGACGCGAACTGAAAAACCATATAGAGGATTTATGCACCAGTTTATCTTTATCTTATATATAGAATAAAATAAAAAACAACTATTGAAATATATTCAAATAAGATTTCATCACATCCCTGAGGATAAAACAAAAGTTTACTCTCTAAAAAAAACCGGGTGATACTGAGGTGTGATGGGAAAAGGACGAAAGGAAAAATGTCGAAGGAAAAGGAATGATTAATTTATCACAGATTACGGCAATGAGAGAGAAGAGAATTTCAGTCGGTCGGATTGTGTCGTCAGATTTGTTTATTCATTCGAAATATGTATGTGTGCGTGTGCACAATTGTCGTGGTTCATTTTGTTTTTGTTGGTTTCTCATCNGAAAATCAATTATAGAAAGGAAAAAGATCGAAAGAGAAAAGAACAAAAAGAAAAATATCGAAGGAAAAGGAATGATTGATTTATCACAGATTACGGCGACGAGAGAGAAGAGAATTTCAGTCGGTCGGATTGTGTCGTCAGATTTGTTTATTCATTCGAAATATGTATGTGTGCGTGTGCACAATTGTCGTGGTTCATTTTGTTTTTGTTGGTTTCTCATCTTTCAGATATGTTATCCATACCGTCTAATGCCGTTTCCTTCATTAAATCTCAAAAGGGCAATAAAATGTTGGTCATGAATGATTACATATTTAAGTTCAACAAAACAGTGGGACCAACAAAGTATTATCGTTGTAAACATTCGCGATGTATTGTGACTTTACATACTGATCTGAATGACGTTATATCGAAATTTAATGGTGAGCATTGTCATCCACCTGAACCTGAAGAGATCGAAATTCGAAAGTTTAAAGAAGCTGTGAAAATCGTGCTAAACTTGAAACTACGCCCATCCCTCAAATCTATGATGAAGAAGCAATACGATTTGACATGTCAAAATTAACAATTGCTGCTTTACCATCCGAAAGAGAAATGAGTTAGTTAATAATTGATTTCACTCAGTTTAGAAGAATTATTTGTAGGTAGCACATTGAATAAAGCACGACGTTTGCAAACACCGGCTATTCCTGGCACACAGATATTCGAAATTCCTGAATTTTATACTAAAACACTGAAAAACTTGCCTTTTTTATGTATCGATCAATTGATAAAAAGAAAAACCAGAATGTTGGTGTTTGCATCGACAGAACAACTGAAAGTATTGTTCAATAGCCCAATCATTTTAATGGATGGCACATTTTCATCGTCACCAACAATCTTCGATCAAGTCTACTGTATTCACGCAATCAAATTTGAACAATGTGAGTATAAATTTACTTCACAAAGAGAATATTCATTTTTTTAAATCGACAGCTTTTGTTTGTGTCTTCGCTCTCTTGTCTGACCGAAAAAAAGGAACATACAAACTTCTATTCCAAGAACTACGTAACAAAGCTGTTGAACTGAACATGAGTTTTAATCCAAATATCGTTATGTCTGACTTTGAAGGATGCCTACGAGATATTCTTAAAACTGATGTACGTACAAATATCTTTAATTTTAAACAGATTCATTTATTTTCTCATTCTAGTTTCCTAATTCTCAGCACCTAGGATGTTATTTCCATTATACGCAGGCCATTTATCGAAACATTCAGGCACTTGGTTTATCGCGTGATTATGGCTCAGATGAAGAAATTCGATGCATTTGTCGAAAGATTATGGCTCTTCCTTTGATTCCAATTTCGTTAGTTTCGAAGGCATACGATGACCTTCTTAATTCAACTATTGCATGTTCGAGAGTAAAGTATGACATGCTCAGACCTTTATTTAATTACTTCGAGAATCAATGGATGAGGAAAGTTGACATTCAACAATGGAACGTTTACGGGATGCAAATGAGAACGAACAACAACGCTGAAGGTTTTTAATACTAATTAACACTAATCTTTGTTTCGATGATGTTTATTTAGGCTACCATAATCGTCTCAACTCACGAATGTCAAAGTATCACCCAAACATTTGGGCATTTATTCAATGTATTAAAGGTGAAGAAAATCGTTTCAATCATTTACTAATTCAAATGAAAGGTGGTCTTGCTGCGCGACCGAAGACAAAGAAAACTTGTGCTATTCAGAACAGAATCGATACGTTATATCTTCGTTATGAAAATAATGACATTAATTCTAGTGAACTCTTGGAAGGATTATCGTACGTTGTTGCTAAGAATATNCACCCAAACATTTGGGCATTTATTCAATGTATTAAAGGTGAAGAAAATCGTTTCAATCATTTACTAATTCAAATGAAAGGTGGTCTTGCTGCGCGACCGAAGACAAAGAAAACTTGTGCTATTCAGAACAGAATCGATACGTTATATCTTCGTTATGAAAATAATGACATTAATTCTAGTGAACTCTTGGAAGGATTATCGTACGTTGTTGCTAAGAATATCAAATCAAGGGGGAAATAAATGAACGAACATTATCTTTCATGAACTAATTTCATATAAAACACAGGCTGTAATTTCTGTTTCTATTTTCGTTCAAAAAAAAGTCTAATGATTCGATACTGATTGTTTGCTACTCATATCTTTATCGTTCAATGTATTCTCTCTCTCTTAATATCGTTTTCGACATTTAGTCTTTTGTTCTTTTCTCTTTCGGCCTTTTTCCTTTCTATAATTGATTTTCCTTTTCTTTGCCAATTATATATTCGACATTTTTCCTTTCGTCCTTTTTCCAGCCATTCATATTTTCAGTCTGCTACACTAGTCATATGTTTCACACCTATCCTCGGCAGCATATTGTTGGTACTTCAGCTATAGTCTGAGTTAAAACTTAGAGTTAATTAAAGTACGAGCTTTCTCTGAGTGGATATCTACGCTTCACAGCACGCCTCACTTCTAGCATACTTTTCTTAGCGCAAACGGATGCAACGATGATTTGGATGAAGCTCATGCAAGTCTACTCGTTAACACACATCCTTGTGGTCTCTCTTCATTTTGACCTTTCATTAAATCTAAGCTCGTCTTGCAAAGTATGATGACAGTCGGCAAGGATCTGAGAAAATTTCACCTGAGTCCGATTCTTCTATCGAAAGTTATCATGTGAACGGCCGGGCGGCTACACTGACCGATGCTATTAGTAGAATACTCACTTTTGAGTACACAAAGAAGAAAATTTACGATGTTTTTGTTGGCAGAGAAAGTTGATTTTTCATTGTATAAATGCCGTTGTTTTTCTCTAGGATGACAAGTTCACCATTATCAAAACGTTGAATATTCATATGTTCATCAACTGTCATACGAAAATAACGCATAAGTAAAAGACGAATAAAAACTTCATGTGAAACGATTAATATATTTTGTGTTTTATCATGATATCCATTGTCCATTTCATGAAAAATCATATCAAGAAAGAGTGAAACACGATCATATACATCTGCTCCACTTTCACCAGTACGAAAACGATAGAAGAATCGACCAACACGTTGTCGTTCAGCTACTTCATTATCTCGAATTGAAAGATCAGTAAAATTACCAAATTCTTGTTCACGTAATCGAGGATCTTGTCTTATTGTTATTATTTGAGAATCCTCTAAAGATTTATAAATACCTTCCCATGTTTGTAATCCACGTCGATAAGGACTTAAATAAACATACAGGGATTCATTATTAATCAACTTTACAATCTTTTTTCCTGCTTCCATAGCTTGTTGTTCACCAAGAGAAGTAAGAATAAGTTCATGATCTGGTTTAGTGGTTAAAATTCCTAAGAAATTAAACTTAGACGATATCTAAACGAAATAAACATATGTCTATACCTGGATCAACATTTCCCTCAGACTGGCCATGTCTTACAAGAAGAATTCGAATAGGTCGTTTATTGAATCGAATCAAAGAATGTCTCAGAAAAATCCATGCAATAATCCAATCAATAATCATATGACCATAGACAAATATCAATAACATAAGTCCAACAAGACAAATAATAAGAAGCATTTGATCACAAAAATATTCTTAATAAATACGAAAATTTTATATCTAATACAAATAGAATATGAGAATCGTTTAGTATTAATCTTTCGTAAAACTTAGTTAAAATCCTTTATTTTTATATGGTATTCTTTATGAAAATGTGAGTATCTCTCCAGTATAGGAAAGAGTGGAAAATCCTATCGTCAACAGAATAGATGATTGGTTTGAGCATTTTATTAACCACATATTGAAATAGGTATGATGATATTAATCATTAAGTTGTTTTTTTTTTGTTTTTGTTCGAAATAAAATTTAATCTTTTTTTGCTATACTCCAATAAACATCAGTAACAAATGGTATATCCAATTCCATATCTTTGTTTGCAGTATTTAAATGATTATAAATGATCTGATGTAATCGATTGTTGACTGTAGTTCGTGTTTCTTCAGGTAATGATGCGAGGAAACTACCAGTAAGTGTATAACCAATAAATTTATCAATTGTCATTCTCTTATTGTTGTTTAGTTTTATATAAGAGAGTGGCATACTAAATAGTTCTTGTTGAGGTTCATTTTCGAAAACAGATTTCCATTTCATTGATTTATATCGACATGTATTCATTGGTGCAAAACTAGAAATAAATTTTCTCAAATTGAAAGAAAATTTCTGTAACGTGATTGATTGAAGTGTAAACTATTATATATAGATATTCTAAATTTACTTACCTGTCGACATATTCAGTGAATTCATCATGCCATGCCTCTTTCTTATTAGCATCTGTTGTGTTCCATACAAGAACTAAGATACCACCTGGTTTTAAGATACGATGAATTTCTTTGAGTGCCTCTGATGTTGCAAACCAATGAAAAGATTGTCCACATGTGACAACATCAACTGTATTGTCAGGAATGTTCATATTTGTAGCCGAATCAGAAAGAATTGTAACTGTAGTGGGTAATTGACAACGCATTTTTTCTACAGGTTCAACAGCAATAATCGTTTGAGCACCAGTCGATAAAAGCAAACGTGTAAGTTTTCCAGTACCTGCACCAACATCTACGATTGTTGTTGGCTGTAAATTACGAATAAAAGAAATAATATCCTCAGCATAAGTAGGACGACATTCATCATAATTTGAAGCCGCTTTATCAAAACCACTTATAGCCAATGGATTAATTCCATCTACTGATGATATCATTTTCATATGTATCTGAAATGTATACTTCTATCAATCAAATAGTAATAATAAACAAAAAAAAAGAAAAAGAGATGTGCTTTTTATTGATTTGTAGATATCTTTTCTAACTAAAACAAGTGCATATATTATTTATTATGTAATATTATGAGCAGTCATTTGATAATATGTTCCACGTTGTTCCATTAATTCTGTATGAGTACCACTCTCAATGAGACGTGTTTTTCCAAGAACATAAATAACATCACATGTGCGAATAGTCGATAAACGATGAGCAATACTTAATGATGTTCGTGTTGAATATTCATTTTGAACATTTTCAAGAACTTGTTGTACGATCTAAAAACGAAATACAAATAAAAATAATTTATTAATGAAAAATAATACATAAACCTGTTCATTATATGAGTCCATTGCGCTTGTAGCTTCATCTAATAATAATATTTTAGGTTGGCGAAGAAGAGCTCGAGCTATTGCAATACGTTGTTTTTCACCTCCTGACATTTGATTACCTTTATGACCGACTTCAGTATCATAACCCTAAATAAATCAATTATTAAAGATTTTCAAGGTATGTTTAAACGTATTACTACTAAAAAGAAGCTCAAGAGAAAAAAATAGGTAATTGATGAATTAACTAATTTTATTACATCTTCAGAAAGTATAAACAAAACTATTTTTTAGTAATATAATTGTTAATAGACATACTTGGGGTAATTTCAGAATAAATTCATGAATATTTGATTTGATAGCAGCATCTACAACAGCATCATGTGAAATATTTTCTTGTGCATATGCAATATTTTGTTTAATAGTCATATTGAATAAAATAGGTTCTTGACTAACAAGGCCAAAACATGATCGAAGCCAATGGATATTTAATTGACGAATATCCACACCATCCAAAAGCTATTAATTATGCTTTTCATATATTTTTTAAGATGAGTAAGGTATCAACTTACCACTTTACCATTTGTTACGTCATAAAAACGTTCAAGAAGTTGGATTATAGTTGATTTTCCACAACCGGATGATCCTATGTTTTTATAATTACTTTCTTCACCAGAAGGTATAGAACTTACCAACAATAGCTACACGTTGACCTAATATAAGCAAATAATATGAATACAGAAAATATAGGAAGATGAATTTCTTTATTACCTGGTTTAATATGTAATTGAAATTTATCAAGAACACGATTGGCTGGTCGAGTTGGATAAATAAATTCAACATGATCAAATTTAATGTCACCTTGAAAATTATTCTAAATACCGATAAATTATATGAATATCTTGAGGGTGACGGACAAAAACAATTTATCAAAAAGATTTACAACCTTGATATGGCATCGAAACACACACTGACAATTTTCTTTTGTCAATACTCACCAATATTTGTCCTTCCATTGATCCATTATCAATTACTGGAGTTCGCTCAAATAAATGAAAGAAACTTTTTGCAGCTGATAATGAAGCACCAATTTCTGCAGTCCTATTTAAAGAAAAGTAAATAAACGAAAATAGATATTGAATTAAATCATTTACATGCTCATAATAATTTTTAAAGATTGTAAACAAAAAATAACAATACCAAATACCCTAAAAGAAGAAAAAGTATTTTAGAAAATGACTTACAAAATTCTTTTTGAAATTTTACATAAGAATATTATTCGTTTGAATCTCGTTTTCTTCATAAAGATATAATGTAAATCCATAAAGAATGGTCATAACAAAACAACGTGTAGACCAATGAATGCCAAATATAAATGCTGATATAATTGAATAATTTCGATGAATTCTATTTAAATAACTATTCATTATTAATCAAATATAAATTACTTTTACTATCTTTTTACTTATATACTTGATGAATTAATTTTGTATATTGTCTTAAAAATTCCTGTTCTATTGTTAATATTTTAACTGTACGAATATTTTCAATTGTTTGAATAGTTAGCTAAAAAGGAAAAGAAGAATTTTATTTTAAAAAAATGAATAATGAATCGTACCGAACTTGTTTGTTCAAGAATAGAACTCGTTTGTTTAGACAGTCGTGATTGAGAATTAACTTCGATAAAAGCAATTATAAAAACAAATAAAGTTGATAGAAATATAATTGGAGATAATTGCCAATGAATAATTGAACCAAATAAAAGACTTGATATAATCATAGTTAAACTTTCAAATATTAAACCAAGACGAGTACCAGTCATTTGTTGAATTGATAATGCATCAGAAGCAAGACGAATACAAATAGAACCTGAACTATTTTCAGGTAAATCAAAAAAAGAGATTTCTTGACGAAGTAAATATGAAAATGCTTTAATACGTATTCGTTCAGTTAATTTAGATCCTGATATTGCAAAACAACCAAACTAAACTAAACTAAAATAAAATATATTTACATCAGCTATTATTTTACTTGTAATATACGCATAAACATTACTATAACACCCACAAATATAATGAAACAGCTATATTTAATTACAAGATATTGTCTTTGAGAAAATGAACAATACTCAAATGTCTAAAATATTCATTTTCGTTATAAGAATAATAAATTAAAATAAATTATTTACTGAAATTGTTTTAGCAAGAAGTATAGCAAATACTGGTATAATTCCTCCAAAACAAATGCATGCAATACAACCAATAAGAATAGTTTTCCATTCTGGACTATTCATTTTCATTAATTTTAAGAAAGTTGATCGTTTAAATAAAGGCAAAGAATCCTTTGCTTTTTCTATTTCAACGTCAATTGTATCATTATTAAAAGATTTAATACGTTCGTCTATTTCAATATAATAAAATTGAATTTATCTTCTATTGATAAAAAGAAATAAAATACATACGATAATTTCTTTCATCTTCTTGTCTATTGATCAATTTATCATTATTTTCCATTAGATTTGTTTCTTGATCGTAAACCATTTGTCGATATTTACTTTCTTCTTTATCCATTAATGTTTTATGTGTACCTTCTTCAATAACAGATCCATTTGATATTACATAAATTCGATTTGCATTTCGAATTGTTGTTAATCGATGAGCAATAATTATTGTTGTACGACCTTTAACAAACAATTCTTTTGACAATTAGGATAATATCAATTCAGATCAACAGTTATATGAACACTTATTACCTTTATATGCTCGTTCAAGTGCATCTTGAACAATCTTTTCATTCGCATTATCTAATGCACTTGTAGCTTCATCTAATAATAATATTGAAGGTTGTTTAATTAAAGTACGAGCTAATGCTACACGTTGTTTTTCTCCACCACTTAATTGAATTCCACGTTCTCCAACTAAGGTTTCATATTTCTATAAAATTAAAAAAATTCATTTATTTCCATAATAAGGAACAAAAAGAAATACAAAACGAACACTAGGTAATTGCATAATAAAATCGTGTGCATTGGCTTGTCGTGCTGCTTCTTCAATTTCATCTTTTGTTGCGTTTAATTTTCCATATCGAATATTTTCATAAATACTCACGTTAAAAAGGATCTAATACATTTTCGAAAAATTAAAAAGAAAAAATATTTAAATATATAGATGATATTTACTGGTTCTTGATTGACAACTCCAATTTGTTGTCGAAGTTGTTTAACATCATATTCATTTATAGATCGTTCATTAATGGTGATTTCACCTGATGAAATGTCATAAAAACGTAGTAAAAGTGATAAACAAGTACTTTTGCCTATATTCATTTGAAAGAATATAATAAGTATATTAACTAATAGAAAAAACATACCCGAACCACTGGAACCTACCAGAGCAGTCGTTTCGCCAGCACGAGCTATTATTGTAAAATTATCAAGAACAGATCGGTCTTTCCGAGATGGATATGAGAAAGTAACATTTTTAAATTGAATATCACCATTTACATTTAATATTTTATCATCCAGTTTGTTATTTATGATTGTTTCCATTTCGAGTTCTTTCATGTGTTCGATCTGTATAAACGAAAAACAACATCAGACGAGGTTGTCACACAATACAACCCGTATAAAAATAAATAACCTCATCAATAAGACGAAATACAGGAGTAGCAGCTACTCGAGCTTCGACATAAGATTCTATAAAAGGTGCTAATAAACCTAGTAAAGTGATACCATGAACAAAGCCAAGTACTATCTATATGAATATTACTATATAATTCAATAATAAGAATTAACTTACTACAAGAATATCACTAATATTCAATTTATCATGCCCTTCGTAATAGATAAGAATTGAACCGAAAATAAAACCAAATGCATAAAGTAAACATCCATATAAATAACTCCAACCAACGAAAAATCCGGACACAATGCCTTTCCTTATACTTGTCCAACGTGATGGATGTAATTCATTTTCATATCTATTCAAATAAATATAAATAGTAAACAAATTTTATAAAAACAAAGTAAAGCTTTAAAATATCCGGCAGCTATTATTGTCAAATGACTTCTGACTTTGTTGATTGTGAAAAGAAAAAATAATTTACCGTCTTTGTTCAAACATAGCACCATTGAGTGAAAGAACAGTGCGCAAAGAACTGAATACTTCCTGAACAATTTGTCCTGCTTTCGAATATGATTCTAATTCTCTAGCAGTCTCTTTGATGATATGCTAAATTATATCATAGAATGACAAAATTATGATAGAAAATAAAATTTTATACTTTGGAAAAGAAGTGAGTTGTTAGAAGAATAATTGGTATATTAAATGACATAAGTAATATTAATTTCCAACTAACGAACAAAGCCACAATTAAAATAGTAATGATTGTACTTATCATTGTAATTACTACCGAAAGTTGAAAACCAATTCCTTTTTGTAATTTATCAACATTACTATTAAAGAAATACAATAAAAATTTATTAAAAATCGTTTTTTTAATCTACTCAAATAATTTGGCGTTGAGTTGACCAATTGGAGTTGTATCAAAATATATAATTTTCTAGTAAAAGAAAGATAATCAAATAGAAATTATTAAACTCGAAGTGTTTTAATGGAACAACATCTGATGTCTTTCAAAATTTTTATCAAGTATTTTAGTCGTCATAAAAGCGTCTTATGGAAATCCTATTTTTACGTAAGTAAGTTCCATCAGCACAGAATTGGATTTTAGCTTTTTTATATCGTACTATAACGGTGTTCAGATAATAAAAACTACATACTCGTTGAAGAATGGTCTGAAAAAGACGCACACGTATTCGAGATGTCTGACGTTTAGCAGTGAGATCAAACATCAAATGTTGTAAAAATGCGCAAAATAGTTCGAAGCACCCAATGGCTACGTGAACAAAGCAAATAGATATATTTTTCCATTTTCATTAACTTATGAAATGATTTACTTATCATACTTACCAATTAACAAATAGATTTTGCTCAGAACATCATCATGGAACATAATCGTCGAAGAAGATGATGACGATGATAATAACGAACACATATCAGTGCTACCACTAATACCTAATCTGCTAAACCTTAACGGTAGAAAGAATACCACATACATTACATACTTGTGCAAGCGACTAAAATTTCCGAGATTGAGTTCGATTCCTAATGGACAATTAGGATTGTTACTCGATATGTTTTTTTGCTTTTGATTACAATGACCACCGAACGATTGCATAGCAAAGACACCTGTAATTCGACCAAAGAGTATCAAATACGCACTGTAACATATTCCATGTAGTATAGCCGCACAAAAACCGATAAATAATAAGACATAATCGAGTCGATTAGCAAATCGAAACTAAAAGTGAAGAGTCATTAACAACATGATGATATACCCCATCTTTAAGATTACTAAAAATCACTTAAAGTTGGTACTGTAATTGCAACTCTTCCTAATTAATCGAAATCATCGACCTAGGCCTGTTTTTTCCTTAGCTTTCCTGTTATGTTATATGTTATTGAAACAAAAACTGTATATTGTTTACGTTCGAAACTTATTCCATATTGCACGAGAATATTTTTCTGTTTACTTCGTCTGCTAGTAAAGAATAGCTATAGTGAATTCAATTGACGATCAAGCCAATATATAGTTTATTGTAATTTATTAAGACCAACAAGATAATAGAACGAAATCAACAGATCTTATATTATAGTGGATATCCGAGCGTATAAGTCTATATAAAGTGCATCAAGACCATGTCTAGTACATATATTCCGAAATATCAATCAGAGCATCAAAAGAGTTGTCTATTCTTAACGGGCATATACGATGTTGGGGTATTATAGTTCAGCTTTAATCATTTCAGTTACTTAATCAAAGGAAAAAGATAAAGCAAGAATTCTGAGTTTGGCTCTCATAAGTCTGCGCATAATAGAATAATTTGCTTTAAGAAAGAATGAATGTAGAACGAGAAAAACTTTGTTTCTCTCTTCGAGGCTTAAACGCAGGTTCAAGCACATATGCATCAGTGACGTTTAACGTCCAAATAGTGAGTGTTGTCCGGACTTAGCTCGGTCACTCACATTTCTGTCGAAAACACATACATACACATTCTACCGTCGAAGAATGGATATCGAAAAGAGTGCATCTTGATAGCTCAGTGATCTGAGTGCCGGCCCGGAAAGTCAGTCTCTGGTTGTTGGATTCGATTCCCGCTCGAGATGTTTATTTTTCGGCGGTCTTGTTTTCGACAGAAAAGAATGAAAAGAAAAATAACAGCCTTGTGATCTATACAATTATCTGTCTTCTTTCCTGCATAGAACGAGAAAAAATACAATCTTTTCTCAAAACCACTTACTAACGCTTACAATATCGTCAGCAGAGTAGCATAACTATGACTAACAGTACTCTTATAAATCAAATAATTTAATATAGTCTCGAATGTGTAGGAGTCTTTTGAAGGAGATATAAACTAATAATTCACAATCTAATTCTAAAGTGGATTCTTAGTATTAAAAATTTAACAATAGAATATATGTTGTATAAGATATATTTACCAACTGAAATAAATTAACAGAATTGATATTCTTCTCTTGATCATTATTATCAGTTCTCAATTGATCATCAAATGTTCTAAACGAAGGAACGTATCTAGAGAAAAAGATGTGTATTATTCATCCTTTTGAATTCTGTTTAATTATTTATTACTTACGTGCTGATCAGTGATCGTATTTCTTCATCTTTTCTTCCATTTTCAGAAGATGATTTCATAATGTTTACTGTAGTTTGAGCGTAACTAGTTTTCTAACGTTCGCAGATGGCGTTTACGTGTATATATGCATATATTTTTTTAATAAAAAAATTGTGCATAAGAAGCGACACGTCTGTGTAAATAGAATGACGTCTATATGTATATGGTCCTTCAGCGCAATATATTATTTATATAAAGAAAAAATATCATTAGTGATGGATATTACTTCATTAAGAAAATAGAAAAATTTTGTAATGATAAAATCATGTAAATGAAAAGCGCTGTGACATTACTGCCTATTATCAAATACTTTGAGTAGTTATGTACTTGACTCTGGTAGTGGATGCTTCAGCACCGGCAAATAACAACTTCGTATTTGAAATCCGTGATATCTATTTAGCAGAAGTATACGAAAATTTATCGTATATTGTCTTCTTCGAAAAAAAAAAGAATTTTTAGATCCATTAAAACTCATCGGAATCTATTTTTAATCAGCAATAATCACATGAAAATTAACCTAGAACACATTTGGATACGATACTTTCGATTTTGTTTTTGTTTTTAGAGCTTTTTTATTTGCATTGTGTGAATAAAATAGAATCTTTGTCGAAACGAACAAGTGATGACAGTAGAAATCGTTGACTTTTGCTTGAATCAATCAACAGAATCTGTAGGTGTTTTTTGTTTCAAGTAGTATTTGGATGAATAAGCTAGCTGTCCTATTTTATACAGGTCATCGTGAAATTTATATAGGTGATTGCATCCTACATATGTCTGCATGAATGACACATAACTACAGTTTCATTTTTTCTTTCTCTATCGAATACAAAAAGAAACGAACGCCTATATACGACGTATGTTTTTCTGAATACATTAGATATTATTTTCGGTATGAGGAATTAGACATGATCGTCAGATTTTTTTTACGGTATGAGATTGAATACAAGTAACGCGGCTTAGTAGCCGTTGACCCTCGACTGGAAGAATATCATACAATAGCATCTCCTTTTTAGAAGAAATGCTAGATTGGGCAAAACATTTTGCAGCACTTTAATATGAGGATGAGGGTGACATTGTTGCAGAACTTTTTGCCCAACCGAATAAATAAAATCTATTTTATTTCGATGGTGCAGTTATTCGATGATTTGCTTCAGACTTTCACTAATATCCATTTATGCCCCAAACGTTTCTCAGACCAACGCCTAGTCGTTCGCCGGCCTCCCTCCGGTCGACCACTCACGGTTAGCCGCTAGTACATAATACATTTTTACGATATTTTTATACCAAAAAGTACCTCGTATATACTGTGTGATCTATAGTACAGGGCCGGAAAGAATATCATTCAAGGGAGTAACGATATTATCCCGAGTAGAAGGCATGATGACTTTTATATCAAATGATAGTCCGTGAAAAATGGGGCTTTTGAGTACTGAACTATAAGGGTCATGATAACTTTTTGATGTCGACCTTAAGGAGTCTGTGCTTTTTTCGAATAGAAGACGAATGCGCTAGTGATTCAAAAACGGATATCGGTATTTTCTCTTGATGTTTTCACATGATTCGATAGAGATCAGCGGCGTTTCAAAATACAAACATAAGACGCAGTATTGCATATTGCATCTGGTGGTTACATTTTAAACGTTCCTATNAACAACACTTACGTCCTATCTGTTCAAATTATTTCCTTCGGAACATGATTCCCCTCTAAATAGAATGGTGATGTTTCTACTCACGGGAGAAACTTTGGGGAAATGTACACCTATATCTTTATTTGCCGCCCATAGGCCTATTTACGATCCAAATAAAATTTTCCCAAAGTCTGTGCTGCGTGTAGAAACATCATCATTCGACGTAGAATTAAATCCTGGGTCGAATGATATAATTTTCAGAGACGGGACTTATCTAGTGAAAAAATGCTTAGCTAACAAATCGTTTGTTCGTGCTAGCTTCATATTGTTTTCCTATTCATTCTCCGTAGCGTCATAGTCCAGATTTTCAGACGAATGGATAAAAACGACTATTTTCACTATTGTTCATTTATTTTTCTCTAGTTAAGTCAGTAATTCTTCAGCCATTCGCTTTAATTTTCGAAATTCGATATGATTAAAGTCTTGCAGATTCTATTGGGTTCATTATTCTCTATTGTAATACCTAGTTTTTCCAATGACTCACAATTGTAACTAGTTTGATGACCGGAAGAAAGCATATCCCATACCACTTAGATTTAACTAATTGAAAATAATATTTGCTATTGCTGTTCTAGAGTTTAGTAATATTATAGATAGTTCTTTCATTTATGGTCAACGGAATCATTATCGAAAGCCAATTCGCTCTCCACCATATTCATAACACAGAACAGTTAGGTTTCGACTGCCGTGCGTATTCGAAGTATAAATATGGTGATGCTACTCGGGCAGCTGAATTCGGAAGAGCTCTTTGTGATGGATTTGTCAAAAAATATAGCGATTTGTTATTAACATGTAACCGTCAGTTTATGGGTATTTCATCGCCAAAGGGTTTAGTTCCACCTGCTGCATATTACATGTTTCAATCATTTTTAAATGAGTTGAATCTCTATTTGACTGCAAACGGACGTCCAGCAGCAGTAGAACACAATATAAAGCGTGTAAGTACGATGAGTGCAGATTACTCACAACTGGAAACAGATCAACGTTTTGCTCATTTGACAAAAGAAGGCTATTCAATTGATAAGAAACCACTCGAAGGAAAATTCCTTCTCATCATTGACGATATTCGTATTACCGGTAAGCAACAATAGCTATTTGTATTGTGTGTCATTTAATCGTGAGAACTATGTCACTATTGGTATATTGATATGAATTTTGTATGAAAGATGTATCTGCGTATTTTTTCATGTGTGGACAAATCCTACTGTAATTTTAGTTGATTATACCTTGTAACAAACTACTTACAACGACATTCAAAGAAAAGATGTAGTTTATATTTCGAATTTTTTTATTTTTTATAGGTTCGCATGAAAAAATTATAGTTCAACTGCTCAAATCTTTGTCTATTGAAAATCCACGTATTTTTCTTTACTTTGCTCAATTATTAAATCCAGAGGTTGCAGCCACTTTTGAACACGAACTAAATACTTGTGCTGTGTCATGTCTTGATGATATTTATTCCATGTTACAAGACTCACATTGTAACTTTGCAATTAATACACGACTTGTCAAAGGAATTCTTCGAGCAGATGAGAAGCAACTTGATGCTTTTCTCGAACGTATTGATATAAAACTATTGATTCAGTTGTATGAAGCATGCTTGGCTGCCAATTATCATAATATAGATGCATTTTCATCAAACTTTCAAAAGATCAAAACGTGTTTTAATGAAAAACAAAAAAAGAATCCTATCGATTAACTATCAATTATTGAAACTTTATCGCGTCGATTTTTGGACATGTGCAGAAAGAGTTCACAGGACATAAATAAATTCGAAAACTGCGAATTTTATTTGAAAGTTTTGTATAGTGCAAAACCTTGAAGTCCTTATTCCATAATAAAAACTTCCAGAGGTTTCTAATAGAAGAAAAGATTTAGGGAAAAGTGAATCTTAACAATAACTGAAGAGAAATTCAGTTGACTATAGATCCATCTTCTAACTCGACTAAATAGAAAATTTCATCATTACTTAGATGAATATGAATCTAATTTCGAATAAAAATATACTAGTTTACAAAAAACATTTTAAAATAAGAACTATTTTGTTTCATTTCTTATCAAATATTGTTTTTTTTATCAGCGTGAAGCTAGCACGAAGGAGCTAGCACGAACAAACGATGTGTTAGCTAAAACTTTTTTAGTAAGTATGTCCCGTCCATGAAAACTACACCATTGGACTCAGAATTTAATTCTGCATCGAATCGTGGTACTTGTATTCACGGGACAAACTTCGGAAAAATGCTTACCTACATCTTTGTTCGCTTCCTATAGGCCTATTTATAATCCATATAGAATTTTTTCCAAAGTTTGCCCCGTGAATACAAGTACCACGATTCGATGCAGAATTAAAGTCT